ATTCCATACACCTAATACAGTTGACCTACTGCTCATAGTATCTGAGAAAACAAATAAACATATGGAACTGATTGATTAGGAATTGATTAGTCTACTTTCTGTCTCGAAAAAAAAAATCATATTTGAAAAGTATTACATTCGTTCATGGTTTCATTTTATAGAATTCTCATGTACTTATGGTTCAACTCCTTCAGGCAAAGTTGACCTTAGATGGATTTGGCTATTATTTATATGTCCTTTTTGGTCATATAGCTCCAACTGTTTTGGTTCTAAAACACGCTTGGCTTTCAAATATACGGCTTTGAGCATACCTGTTGAAGGTCAAATTCAGAAAAGAACTTAGGACGCATGAAATGTATAAAGTGTTGCTTTCATTTTGTATCAATTCGCTAATGTTTCGGGAATAGACATTAGCCTTTCACCAAGACTATGTGATAGGTTAATCAGTCATCTGGAACACCTAAATACACCCAATATTTATGATAATGTGTTGCCTGTATATGCCTCTGGCGGTAAAGTATTTCCAACTACAGATATGAGGATGTTTGGATAATGCATTTATTATCTTTAGTTCACATTGGCCTAACTATCAGGAGTTAACAAACTTGAAGTTACAGACTATAGAAACATGAGTGTTATTCCATGATTCCTCCATAAAGATGCCTCCTCTTGAACACCATTTTGATGTCTTCCTCTCTTCTACATAATGATGCCTACCCTTTACAGCATACTGATGCCTCTTTGTGGTACCTAAGTTAAAGCATTTCCCCATAAACATATGTATCCGAATACATCAACTTTATATCCATTTTTTTTTAATTGTGGTCAACATGTTTTGAAAGTTTTTATATCATTCAAATAAGCAATATGCCAAAAAATAGTATATAAAAACATGGAGGAATCGATTAAAATTTTAAATCAATTGATCAACATCCATTTTGTCAGTTGATCCAACAGAATTCTACACTTCCTTGTGTATATCTATTTGACTGAAAGATCCAGCGATATCAATTAGCAAGCCGTATATACTGCTGGTAATAGATATCCTTCAGATATCGATCAGCAATCAAGATATAGTGCTGGAAAAAATTATCCCTAATACCAATCTCAGCAAGCCAGAAATACTGCTGGTAACAAACTATCTCTTAGATATCAATCAGCAATCCAGATATACTGCTGGTAACAAAATATCCTTAAGCTATCAATCAGCAACCTAGATATAGTGCTGGTAACACTAATCCCTACGATACCAATCAGCAAGCTAGACAAACTGCTAGTAACAAACTATCCTTTCAATATCAATAAGCAAACAAGCTATACTGCTGGCAACAAACTATCCCTTAGACATCAATCCTGAGCCAAATATACTACTGGTAACAAACTATCCCTAAGATATCAATCAGCAAGCCAGATATAATATGGTAACAAAATATGCCCTAGATATCATTCTGCAAGGCGGATATAAAGATGACAAAATATCCCTTAGATATCAACCAGCAGTCCAGATATACTGCTGGTAACAAATTATCACTTATACACCAATCAGCAACCTAGATATATTGCTGGTAAGTGAATATCCCTTAGATATCAGTCAGCAAGCACAGATATACTGCTGGCAACCAACTATTCCTTTGAAATCGATCACAAGCCAGAATTACTACTGGTAAACTATCCATTAGATATAAATAAGCAAGCCAGATATACTGCTGGTAACAAACTATCCCTTAGATATCAATCAGCAAGCCGGATTTACTTCTGGTAACTAACTATGCCTTAATAGACTGTTATCACAGAGATATGTCTCGCCTTTTTGTAATTTTGATAATGCAAATGTTGAAATTAAAATAACAATACTTTAACATGGAAGTTATGCAAATATACAAAGTCGATGAACCATGACTGAAGGTACATGGCTAAACAATCTCCAAGAAATGAGATGTGCCAATGCTTATACAACTGCATACCAAACACCATTGATCATTATGAGTCGTTCCTTTTAAACAAACATAAACACAAACATTAACTTGTAAACTATGTAAATGTTTCAAAGTAAATGAACCATGATCAGGGGTGGGGCTATATAATCTCCATGGAAACGATACTTGCAAATGCCAATAAATTTGCATACCAAATATAATTGACTTAACATTAGCAGTTCATCTTAAACTGATCTAATCACAAACTAATACATGTAAATTAAGCAAAAGTTGCAAAGTAAATCGACCATGACTGACGGGGCGGGGCCAAATATTTTCCATGGAAATGAGATGTGCTAATGCTTATAGAACTGAACACAAATTAACATTTGGCCTACCACTAATGGTTCCCCTTGAACTGACCTAATCACAAACTAAACTTAGCAAAATTTTCAAAGTCTATAGACCATGACTAAGGGGGCGGAGTTAAATAATCTCCATGGAAATGAGATATGCCAATGCTTATACAACTGCATACCAAATATCACTGATCTACCACTAGTGGTTCCCCATAAATTGACATAATCAGAAACTTATACATGTCAACTATGAAAAGTTTCAAAGTCAATAGACCTTGACTGAGGGGACAGGGCCAAATGATGTGCCAATGCTAATACAACTGCATACCAAATATCATTGACCTACCACTAGTGGTTCACCATGAACTAGACCTAATCACAAAAAAAAAAATATTGTTGACGCCGCCGCCGCCGTCGCCGGAAACAGCATACCTATGTCTCGCTTTTTGACTCCGTCAAGGCGAGACAAAGATCAATCTCCGCTAGCAAGATATACTACAAGCAACAAAGTATGACTTGTATATCAGTGAACAAGCCAAATTTTCTGCTAGTTACAAACTTTCCTTTAGATATCAGCAAGCAAGCCAGATATACTGCTGGTAAGAAATTAGGACTTAGATATCAATAACAAGAAAAACTACTGATAAACTATCCCTTTGATATCAATAAGCAAGCCAGATAAACTGCTGGTAACAAACTATACCTTATATATCAATCAGATACTAGATTCACTACTGGTTACAATTTATCACTTGGATATCAATCCGCAAGCCAGATATACTGCAGATTACAAGATATGCCTTAGATATCAACCAACAAGTATCCCTATTTAAAGTAATCAATCGGCAATCCAGATATACTGCTGGTTACAAACATATCCCTTACTTCAGCTAGCCAGATATACTGCAGATGACACGCTGTTTTTAAGATGTCTATTAGCAAGCCAAATATACTACTGGTAGCAAACTATGCCTTAGCAATCAACCAGCAAGCCAAATATACTGATGGTAACAATAATCCCATAGATATCAATCAGCAAGCCAGATATACTGCTGGTAACAATGATCCCATAGATATCAATCAGCAAGCCAGATATACTGCTGGCAACACTAGCCCCTTAGATATCAATCTCAGCAAGTCAGATATACTACTGGTAACACTTATCCCATAGATATCAATCAGCAAGCCAAATATATTGCTGGTAACAAACTGTTCTCTAGAAATCAATCCGCAGGCCAGATATACTGCTGGTAATGTAGATCAGGATCAAAGCTTCCCTTCGTATCTTAGTCCTAGCAATAGATTCCACCAGCATCTATTGTATAATACAATTTTTATTCACTTAACACGCACAAAAAGACTTGCATTTTACATTTGAAAAACATGTCTGGAGAAATATTGAATCATACTGCAGTATTCTTATCTTTCCTCCAATGACCTCAAAATTTGGATTTTAAATTTGATTTCTGGGATTTTTATCCATTAGTATGGAGTAGGAACCACATCCATTTTGTCATGATGGACAAAACAGAACACATTGACCATACTTAACTTAATTATATGCTTGATGTAAATAGGTTGATATTCTTAAATAGATCAGTTCCAACCAAAACCAATTGAAAAAACATCAAAGCACAACTTTAATGATATATTAAAGGACCAATGAACAGCTGTGCCTACCTTCCTATAGTAACAAGCACATTTGGCCCTGCTCTCCAAAATATACACAATGTTTAACAAGTTAGTGGTCCGCCTGTAGGTGCAATGAAGGTTTTTTTGTATTGTGATTTATTTTACTAATGGTCTAGATAGGCAGTCATGTTTGTGAATGCGTTAAACTGGTTTAACTAAACATTTTTGTCTGTAGCAAATCAAGACTCCACAATATGTGCTGTTCAATTTAATAAGTTTATCTAGTATTTTTTGTCAAGTATTGTTATTCTTTTTACCAATGTAGTTAAAATTGAAGTGGACCCAATATTCTGATGTTAAGAATATTACATCCAATTCCTTTAAAATACCACTTAATTAAGGTAAGGTAGAACACTTATTTCCAATACTTGTAGACCAAATATAATAAACATGTGGCTTCAGGAAACTTATCAACCAGATTTATCAATTAACAATGAAAATCAGGTCAAGGGGAGTCATTCCTGTCAAACTGACATGTACATTTAGCAATGCATGTAGACCAAATGCAGTTGACCTGACTTGTAGTAAATGAGACTCGTGGCACAAAACTAAAATTACTATAGAGTTCAAATTACTTCTCTAGAGACCACATTCACTGACTTGATGTAACTGACACTGGAAAAATGAGGTCAAGGCCATATAACATGTCATACTATTAAGAAATCCATATACAATAGGTCCAGTTATTTTCATGCAAAGATAAAAGGGACTGAACACTTAATTTTGACACATGGAGCATGAAAAAGGGGCAGTAGTCAGAAGACAATGACTGTTTGACATAGTCTGAGCATAAGTCATCCATGTTTTGATTAACCAAGGAGAAAGTGGGACCAAATATGAAAGGTATTTGCATCACTGTTGCCTGAAAAGTAACACTCAAGTATTATCTTCAACAACTTCATCACAAGTAGCAAATTAGGCTTAGTCAGTTCATAATATGGTAGAGTGGATCGTGCGGTGTCTGAGAAGCAAATTATGTTCATAAATTTGCAGATAATAAACCTTTAAAATTAAAAAAAAAAAAACACAGTCCATCTTTCCCATTAATTTATTGTTTATGGGTAAAATGACATCAACATACAGTACAGGACTTGTAAAATTTCATTGTACATACCATAAAAGTTTTTCACTGATTAAGAAAAAGTACCAGACAATGAGAAGTGACAAGATGAGAAATAAAATGGTATATGATTGATAATGTGATAATTGATGAATATATATATATACAACAGTTGCAGAAAAACAATGAAAATTCTAAAACCAGGCAAAAAATATTATAATATGGACACCTTTTATATAATTTTCAGGTTGCTATTGTGCTTATAATTACAATTGTATGTAATGAATCTGATCTTAAGGCACTATTCAAATTTTACTTTGTGAATCATTTGGTATTTTAATTTAGTTTGTATATTCCATTTCATGATTATTAACAGCTTCATGCAAAAAAAAACTTCCATATTCAATGAATATTGAAATAAAAAATTTGATGTTAAAAATATTTTACCCATGACCAACATGAAAAATCAAACTCATTTCATAAATATAAATAATGATGAAGTTTTAAACTGACAAACCAGATGTACATAAGGTGTAAGAACAATTTGTGTTGTTTTAAATGAAGTCTCCATTTATAATTAACATAATTACAATAGTTTTATGCTAAGTAAAAGAGTTTTCCTCAAAAAATAATGACAAATATTCAATACAATTTATAATGAATTGTTTGTCTTACAATGTCTTTGAGAAAATGGCTACAATTTTAGTTAATAACCAACAATTAATGAGGACTTATATACCATTTACATTAATCTTTAGCTACTCATGTTTAAAGATCAGATTATTTTTCTCAACTTCCATTTTTGGGCAAAATGAAAATCATCCCTGAAATAAAAATGGATAAGTAATATAATCATACTACTTTAAATGCATTGTGAATAAGAATACTCCTTTAATCCAATTACATGAACAAAATAGATGTGCAAAGCACAAAAATCAGTTTTTTTCTAAGTCACATATTTTTTTATGAAAGATGTTAAAAAATGAGAATTTTCCTCAGAAGAAATTAATGCAAGCTTTAATTACATTACTAAAAAATAATATTTCTAACAAATATGATGAAAAATGGTATAAAATCACTTTTGATGCTAAAACATGACAAAAAAATAAAATTTCAATACAGAAAATATCTGAGATAATAAAAACATGTTCTTGTCAAATAAAATAAGTTAAAATTCTACATTACAATAATAAGTGGCGAAAAAATTCTTCACTTTAAACACTGGAGGTAATAAATACTTTAAAACAATGATTACAAAATAATATAGAACAAATTTACAACACTATACCTGGTTTTTTCCCCTGTTTACAGTACCTTAAAGACAGTGTATTTTAACCCTTCTTTACAAGACAAGTGCATTTACATAATATTTTACAGAAAAGCTGCCTTTAATGAGATAAAAAAAAATTATGCAACTCTGACATCTTTTTTTAGTGAGCTTGGCTCAACCCTAGTTTTGACTATAAAAAAACCATCAATACATAAAATAGTTGTTTGATTTCTTTAAGAAGTTAGTTGTTAAATGACAGAAAAAGAAAAAGAAATAATGATCATAAATATTATCTTTCAAAAGAACATTTTTTCTGGATCTTTCTACAGATGACACAATACCAGTTTTATTAAAATAAGATTTTGTGAACACATTGTGGTTTTATTTGCACTTTCCAAAAGCCATTTACTATAAATACAGTATCTACAATTTGTACATTTATATATTTACAATTAATATCATTTTCTAGCTCTTGTCACTCGTTTAACAGATGTTTTCTGTTTTGGCGAGACAGTTTTCACCTTTTTCACTGCTTTTTTGGGCGGAGATGATATAGATACTTTCTCAGGAGTTTTTGCTTTCGGATTCCCTCTTGTTCCTCTCTTGGTAGATTTTACTTGTGATGGACTAGCTGTTTTCACCACTTTTGTTTTCTTGCCTTTGCTTGGTTGCTGCACGGTTTCAGCGTCAACTTTGCTGACTTTTGAAGGACTAGACATTTTTGCCGGTGTTGCTGCCTTCCGCTTTCCACTTTTCTTTGTAATTTTTTTTACTGGAGTTTGGAGTTTAACTGGAGATACAGCTCTCCCACCTCTTTTGTTAGGCTTAGATTCTACTGCTGCTTCTTGTAAAACTTCGTCTATAACAGGTACAGCTTTGACAGGACTGACTTTTCTTCCTCTTGTAGGTTTTTTGGCTGTACTAGCTTTTTTAGGTGATTTTAGTTTAGCTACTGGTGTCAAAACAACTGCTGGTGATTGATTTGGCATAACTGCCCTTCCTCTCCTTGGTTTAGCTCTGTTTACAGGCGTTTTAGCCTTAGGTGAGGCTGCTTTTGCCAATTTTCCTCTTGATCTCTTTACTGGAGATTTTTTAGGAGTATCCAGCTTCAGTGTCTCAATAACTGCAGTCTCCCCTTTCTCTGCATTTTTAGGTGTTTCTTTTTTGGCTGCTTTGCCTCTTGTTGCACGTTTGACTGGTGACTTTTTAGGAGTTACCATCTTCTTGGGTGTTGGTTCAACATCTGGGGCAACAACAGTGCTCTTCGATTTCTTTGATTTTGAAGCTTTTTCCTTTGCTGCTGGTTTGGCTGGAGACTTTTTAGGAGTTGGTTTTGCAGTTTTCTGTTCTTCAAGTGGAACAACAGTAGTTCCTGCCTTTTTCGGAGATTTAACAGGCTTACCACGTGTTGCTCTTTTTGCTGGTGACACAGCAGGAGTTTCCACTGTATTGACTTTTCCCCTTGTCTTTTTTATTGCAGCCGATTTTGCAGGTGTTGCTGGCTTTTTTGGAGATGATTTCCCTGCTCCTCTCCCTCTTGTACGTTTTGCAGCTGGTGATTTGGTTGGTGTTTCCACTTTCTTAGGTGAAATTGTTTGGACTTTTCCAGGCTTTTTACTTGGAGGTTCAGCATCAGCAGATGAGATAGATCGTTTACGTTTTCCACCTCGGACAGGTTTCTTAGCTGGACTTGCAACAGTTTCCTGAAGAGTGACAGTTTCTTCATTTGTTGCAGTTTTAGCTTTACCTCTGGTTGCCTTCTTTTTGGGTGTAGTTGCCTTCACTGGTGATTTAGAGGATTTTTTCTCTTCGACTTTTGTAACAGGTTTTTCAGACTTTCCTGTTCTTCCTTTTTTCAGTGGAGTAGATATTTTCTGAATTTTAGCAGGTGTTACTACTTTGCCTCTTCTTGTTGTTCTCTTTGCTACAGGAGATTTCTTTACTACTTCCACTCTTGGACTGCTGTAAGCTGCCGCTTTATTCTTCAAAGCTTTTGGTGATGTCTTTAATTTTGGCAATGCTTTTCTACCTCTAGCTCTTGGTACATCAGGTGTTGGTACTTTAAATAAACAAAAATACAGAAAATGAAAATAACATCAGACGTGTCTTCATTATTAAAACAAACAAAAACAACATATTTTATATGAATTATAATAAGACTACATGGTAACGTCAGCAGTTTAGAGCATTTAAAAAGCCCACCAAAAGAGTAAGTCAATCAAAGAGTTAAAACACTGATATCAGAAGATTGCTACAACAGCTGCGTAAATACTTATTCAAGACATCATATATAGATTAATATTATTTTTGTCTTCAAACACTGCTTCCCAAGCTCACTTTTTATAATATATTTCACTGTCCTGTTCCAGGTCACTCCCACAGATTTTTTCCAAGTCTTTGTTCCTTCTTATTCTGTGTGCTTTGCAGAGAAGCAGCAAGTACCAATTTCTATGCTTTGTTTGACCTGGGTGGGGATCAAACCCATGACCTCCTGTAGTTGAGGCGAGTAAGCAACGAGATATAGGAAAAAGTGGTATGATCACTAAACTGTTTATACGTTGAAAATTAGTTATTTTATAAGGTTTGATGTTATAGTATAGTTTTGTGCATCATGTGCCAATAGTCATTTTTGTCGAGCCTGCAAATTTACTTCGTTAAAGTGAGACAAAGCAATCCTGCATTGTTGTTGGCGGCGTCAACATCAAGGTTCAGTCTGTGGTTCAAGTTTTTGGACATCAATAACTTTTGTCAAACCTATATTGAATTAGATGAAATTTGGACAGAAGCTTCCTTATGACCAAAATATAGTATCCAGAGCAAAATTGTGAAAACATTTATTTTCATTTTTCCCTATTTTACTGATAAATTGACTTACATTTAACATTCATATTCAGTCAAGGTTAAAGTTTTGCAGTCATCAATAACTTTGTCAAAACCTTCATGGAAATTTTTATGACCAAAATACAGTATCCAGAGCAAAATTTTGAAAATATTTATTTTCGTTTTTTCTGTATTTTACTGATTAATGGACTTAGTATTTTTTACATTAAACAAATACAGTCTGGGGATAAAGTTTGTTACACATCAAATACTTTGTTAAACCTTCATAGAATTTGATGAAACTTTTTTATGATTTAGAGATAATGTCTGAAGCACACTTTTGAAAATATATTTTCATTTTGAGTATTTTTCTGATAAATGACTTTTTTCAGTTATCATTTACTGACAGTCTAGGATTAAATTGTTTTGACATAAGTTTGTTAACATTCATGGATTATGAAACTTGGACAGAAGCTAATCTTCAAGTCAAGAAATAGCATATAAAAGAAAGTTTGAATCTTTTTTAACATTCTGTATTTTACTGATAAATGGACTCACTTTTTAAGTCAACAATATTACACTTTTACACTGACAGCAGCAATTGTAGGGGAGACACAGGGTTCTGCGGAACCCCTTACAAATTTTATAATATATACTATACAATAGCTAAGAAAGTAAAATAATCATGCTTTTTTGTTGGTTACAATAGACACATGAACAACTTAACACTTACCAGCTACTACTTCCTTTGAAACAGTTACTTTGGATTTACCTCTGAAATGACAATAAAACCAGTACAATTTTATCACAGAAGTCATATTTTGTATAAATAATATTCAACAATTCCAGCTGTATATCAAAGGCACCACCTACTAGGGCTTGCTGTTCTATATTAAATTGATATTTATGAAATTCAAGAACCTATTGTTATTTTTCAATAAATTAAGCAAACTTCTCGACAAATGAACTTCCAAATCTGTTATTGAGAAAAGTATATATGACTTAACTATAGCAAGCATCACCTAATACTTGTGAATATTGTCTTTGAGTGGGTTTTGGTATCAAATTGTGATACATTGGATAATAGTTGTCACTTATATCTCCTATCAATACTTTTATTAATCAAAGGTAATATGTCCATGTTTTTTATTTTTTGACACAAGAGGACTAAATCAATTGCAGTCTGTAAAGCCAATTAACTTTTTTCCAGTCATCCATCTAATGCTGTATTTTTTAGTTTATTGATAAACCGTACCTTGAGGCCTTGGCAGGTGTCGACATTATAGCAGTTTTAACAGGTGATTGTTTAGTTAATTTAATAAACCATACCTTGAGGCCTTAGCAGATATTGATTTTGTTCCAATTTTAACAGGTGATTATTTAATGGATAAACCATCATTGAGGCCTTGGCAGGTGTCGACTTTGTAGCAGCTTTAACAGGTGATTTTTTTTAGTTTATTGATAAACTGTACCTTGAGGCCTTGGCAGGTGTCAACTTTGTAGCACTTTTAACAGGTGATTTTTTAACTGCACCTCGTCGTGTTTTCTTAGATGAAACCTCTGTTACTGTTTCTGCAACCTTCTTGGGGGATTTTACTGGAGTCTTTTTAACTGCACCTCTTTTTGCTCGTTTAGCTGGTCTCTCCAACTCAGTTTCTAGAACATCTGGGGATGCAGGGTTAAGTCTTTTTCTGCCATGTCTGAAAAAGACAATTGTACATCACAACTTGACCATTAATTTGCTTATAAATTCACATTTTGTTAAATGCATAAGAAATACCAAGTAAACACATGAACTTTCAACTTTTGGGTATTGAGCTTGTTGTGCCTAGGAAACAGTTTAGTTCAGACTAACCATGTATTTTGAGTAAAAAAAAAAAGATGCACATGTGATTTCCCGAAGCCTTTAGTGGAAGCTATGTGGCATCATTACTGCCATGTATGCCATACAAAAATAATGAAATAAGGGTTCTTTAAATATCATATATCATTCCTATGAAATATACAAGGATTTGGCTTCCTAGTTTCATTGGAAAATAATACGAAATAAATTTGTAGTTTCATTGACGAATAATCAATTTTACAATCAGAATAAAGAATTGCTGAGGACAATTTTTCAAACATTCCTAAAAAGATTTAAAATATTTGGCTTTATTGTTTTAGGAGGAAAAGTTTATAAATCAACCAATTATACAATTTATGGTAAATAATTTCAATTCAGTTTTTCAGAAAAAGTTGAACACCAGTTTTCCAAAGTTTTCCTTTTCGTTTTGCGCATTGTTTCTGTTAATTATATTCAAGAAATTAAGCAGCCATTTCCTCAGGTGTTTTGAGGACTGAACTCCAAATATTGTCAAATGAAATTATGCATGACACAATCGACAACACTGCAAAAAACAGAAATTGTAACTGGGATATCTTGAATGATTCAGTTCAACATTGACAAGAAGTATATATAAAATCAGAGATTAAATACTTCCTATACACCTATAAATGGATTTGCTGTTGACTCACTGTTTTGGTGTATATTAAATGGCATCTGCAATACATGTTTTGATATAATCAAAATGATTGGTATACTTTCATGTTTTATACATAATTACTGTTTTATGATGTCTTTACCATGTTTTTGATAATCATTAGATATGTTATTTTCTATTAAACTATCATGAAAGACTTCAATACTACTCACCTGACAACAGGAGACTTGGTAACTACTGGTGACTTTTTAGCTGTAGACTTTTTAAGTGTGCTTTTTGATGCTTTGAGTTTTGGAGTGACAGATTTAGGTGTCTAAAAAAACAATCACACATTTTAAATAAAAAAGATACACCTTACAAAAATGTTAAGTATTTAAAATAATTTACTGTCAACCAAGTAAAACGAATGCTAATTTGCAAGAATTAAATATTTAATAAAATACCTTAAAAAATATTGTATTTGGTAACTTGTTACATGGCATATATGATACTGCTTCAATCCGTGTACAGTGGATACTTCCACATGGATACATCATAAGAACTTTCCATAGGTTATCAGTGCTATCTTTTAACCCATTGACTGCAAAGAACTTATCAATCCGTTTAAAAATATCTTAGTGTACATACCTTAAACATTTCCTTTACACCTGAAGGACTAGCTGGTGACTTTCTCTGTTTTGGTGTAGTTAACAACTGTTTTAGTCCAACTAACTTCGGTGTAGGGACAGACTTTCTTTTTGTTGAAGACATTGGTGATACCAACATTTCCCCAGGACCAATGGGTGTTTCTGGCAGATCAGAATAGAGTGAGTGTGGTGTTCCTGTTCTCTCAGGAGAACTTGCTGGACTTGGAGTCCTAAAAATGTCAGCTATACCGGATAGTCTTGAAGTAGATTTTGGTTTTGCCTGCAATACAATGTGAATTTGTCAACATTTGATTATTTTACTTGTCTTAAACACTATGTGAATTTGTGACCTACATTTTTGATGATTTTACTCAACTAAATAAGTAAAGTTCATACTGGTAGGCTTGAGCCTGAAGTAATCACTTGTTTCCTTGAGTTTACAGCGGCAGTTAGTTATTATCAGTAAACAGTAATGGAGGTCATGAAGCCATATTTTATCTCCGCCGATTCATCATAGAAACGGAAATTATTAGACTTAAACAGTAATGTAATCAAGCTTTTTTTCAGACTTTGAAAACTGATGCGGGAAAGTAGAATTGTAAGATAAGTTTCCCATGGGTAAGTGCATTTTCAAAAAAATTCCAAAGCCCTGAACTAGTTGAAACACCAATAGGCATACATTGATGTGTTTTTGAACATGTGCTCTCTAGGAATAGTCATAACTCTTCAAATACATGCTAGAATTGTATATTAAAGTAAATCTGATATTTCAGTGTTATATATACTGTCTGAATGTAAACTGATAGTTGAACATTATAAATGAAAATTTTGGAAAATTTTGGCTCTAGGGACTCAATTTTTCAAACACAGTCAGAATAAAGTTTTACAGTTAAATCCTACAATTATTGCTTACCTTAAAAATCTCAAACATTTAGACAAAAGTGTTTTAAGATTCTGAGAATGTTTCAATATATTTTAATAAGCATCTAAAGGTGTTGCAGAATCAAAATGAATATGAAATGTCTGTGATTTGATAGTTGAAACAACCCCCTCCAATAATGCCTATCAAAATTGAAAAAGAGTGTTGCATAATGGCATTATATGGTGAATATTCTAAGTAGTTGCATGAAGTTCTGATTTAATAGTTTTAGGAGGTGCTAATGATGTACATCATTTGAAAGTTTCATAATTCTGTCAAGTGTTATAGGAGCAGAAGTTGTGTCAAAGTTGGATGTAAAGATCAATTACCCTCCCCCCCCCCCCCCCAATGAAAAAAAATATCTACTGCTTAAAATGTAGAGGGTATAAAAATTAATCTGTACTTTGATACACATACCTTTCTTACACCAATGCTTTTCCTTCCCTTTCTGGGTAATAAAGCAGGAGTGGATGTTAACTTCTTGTGAATAACTATAGTAGCTGGTGAGTCAGCATGTCCTGTTGTTGGTGCTTTAGATGCAGCTTTTGTTCTTGGAGTCTTTGGGGGCATCTTCTACAAAATTTAGTTGCTATAATTTTTAACCTTCTATATTGAATATCTAGTCAAAAATCACAACCATTTAATTTCTGCCACCTGCAGGGAATTCTTAAATCGGGAACGGTACTATTTGAATTTATAAATTAACTACCTTCAGTTTAACTTGCAAGTGAAAACTGATAGGGTTCAGTGCTCTATTAAAATCCAAAACATTCTTTTGAAAAAAAAATAAAATTTGCTCATAATAAATAAGAAAAACACATCTTTTAGAAATGACCTCAGACAGCCAGAGGTTTGTTGAACTTTAACACAATCACATGTACCTGTATTATGATTTTTTTAAAAAACAAAACCATAGCAGAGCTGGGGTATATCATATCAATATTATTGGACTTTCAATGGTAAAAGTAGAGACCCCACAAATCATGTTATTTCCATCCTTACAAAGCCAATCATTATAAAAATAAGGAGTTGTGGAATCATTGCCAATGAGACAACTATCCACCAGGATGTAAGCAATTATAGGGCACAATAAGGGCCCTAAACAATGAGAAAAAAACAATACCATATAGTTGGCTATAAAATGCCCGGACATAAAAAATGTGAAACAATTCAAATGAGAAAATTAAAGGCATAATTTATAACAAAACAGTCTACAAAAAACAAATATGACAGACATGAACCAACAACCACCACTGAACTATAGCTTCTGGACTTGGTACTGACACAAAAAATATGATGGGGTTAAACATGTCTGAGCTCTCAACCCTCCCCTAACCTGGGACATTGATGTATACCACATAAGGAGGTAACAAGCCCTACGAGTTTACATACCTTCTTTATACTTTTTGGTGTTTTGTCTCTCTTCTGCACAACTGGCAGAGGTTTCTTTGCAGATTGTCGTCTGGCTACTCCTTTTTCAGCAATGCCTTTCTTGACAATTTCAGACCAAAGATTAGTTGGAAGTTTAGGTGTTTTCATTTTTCCATGTATTGCCCTGATAGCCACAGCATTTCTAATTGTTGATGGTGGGGACTTCTTATGTGATCTAGGAGTTTTCTTCAATGATTTTGGACTTGGTTTGCGTGGCGTTGGAGTTCTTTTAGCTGGTGTAGCTTTTTTTGTTGATTTTGGCGAGGGATTTCTCTTTCCTTGAATTGATTTTCTTGTTGACTTTGGTGTGACTTTCTTTACCTCTTGTCCTTCTGCTTCAGGTGTTTTCATAATCGCTGATAACCCAGTAAAGCTAACATCATCCAATTTATTTTTGGGAGTTTTCATAAGTCTCTTCACTCCAGTCAGGTTAAGAGCACCAGTGCTTGCACGTCTAGGCTGTCCACTAGAGGCCTTTCCTGCTTTAGGAGTACTTGTTGCAACCTTTGGGGTTTTCATTAACTCTTCGATACCTGTATAACTAATGTCTGCATTTAATTTTTCTTCAGATAAAGATGTCGACAGGCGTTTAACTCTCTTTGGGCTTGTTGTAGGTGTACTCTTCTGTGATTTTGGAGATCGAAGACTCTTTCCTTTTGCAGGTGTTGTTCTTGGAGATTTGGTTGTCACTGGTGTAGATTTCGGAGACTTTACAGGCGACTTTCTGGTTGGTGTTTTAGGAGATTTTCTTGCAGGAGTTGATTTTGCACTCTTTACTGGCGACTCCTTACTAGGACTTTCCTCAGTGATTGTAGACTCTTTTCTAAAAATAGCCAGTGACTTTCTTTTTAATAATGATTTTGGTGATAAAACACTAAATGGCTCAGACAATCTCCTTGGTGTTGTACCTTTTCTTACTGGGGTTATTGGTGGCAGTTTTTTATCAAACATTTCTGGACTTAATGATGGACCAAATGAAATTCTCTTCTTTTTGGCATCTGGGCCAATACTTTTGGTAGATTTCCTTTTACTCCCACTTTTTACTTTTGGAGATGCTGCAACAAAAAACATGTATTGCTTACAAATAGTGTAAACATGTAACATTATATTTCATTTTTTTCCAGTTCAAAAATCAATTTCTATTTTCTCTTAAATAAGACAAACTAGAGGCTCTCAAGAGCCTGTGTCGCTCACCTGACTCTACTTTGGTTTTAGAAATCATGTAAAGATAGATAAAAATCATAACAGATACCCAAATAAGGATTGAGGCCAAATTTTGATTAATATTGGTCCCGTTATTTAATAAAATATCCTGGTGGCCATCTTGAACAGTAAATCGACTGCAAAGTAACAACACTTGGTCAGCAACTCATAAGGAACATTCATGCCATGTTTGGTTCCATTCCATTCAGTGGTTCTCTAAAAGAAGACAATTGTATGTATTTCCCATAGGGTCCTATGTTAAACTAAGTCCCCCGCTGGCGGCCATCTTGGATGATGGACCGACTGCAAAGTAACAACACTTGGTCAGCACCTCATTAGGAACATTCATGCCATGTTTGGTTTCATTCCATTCAGTGGTTCTCTAAAAGAGGACATTTGTATGTATTTCCCATAGGGTCCTATGTTAAACTAAGTCCCCCGCTGGCGGCCATCTTGGATGATGGATTGGCTGCGAAGAAACAACACTTGGTCAACACCTCATAAGGAACATTCATGCCATGTTTGGTTCCATTCCATTCAGAGGTTCTCTAAAAGAAGACATTTTGTATGTATTTCCAGTAGGGTCCTATGTTAAACTAAGTCACCCACTGGTAGCCATCTTGGATGATGGATCGGCTGCAAAGTAACAACACTTGGTCAGCACCTTATAAGGAACATTCATGCCATGTTTGGTTTCATTCCATTCACTGGTTCTCTAAGAGAAGACATTTGTATGTATTTTCCATAGGGTCCAATGTTAAACTAAGTCCCCCGCTGTCGGCCATCCTGGATGATGGACCGACTGCAAAGTTACAACACTTGGTCAGCACCTTATAAGGAACATTCATGCCATGTTTTGTTTCATTCCATTCAGTTGTTCTCTAAAAGAAGACATTTGTATGTATTTTCCATAGGGTCCTATGTTAAACCAAGTCCCCTGCTGGCGGCCATCTTGGATGATGGACCGACTGCAAAGTAACAACACTTGGTCAACATCTCATAAGGAATATTCATGCCATTTTTGGTTCCATTCCATTTATTGGTTCTCTAAAAGAAGACATTTTTATGTATTTCCCAAAGGGTCCTATGTAAAACTAAGTCCCCCGCTGGCGGCCATCTTGGATGATGGATCGGCTACAAAGTAACAACACTTGGTCAACATCTCATAAGGAACATTCATGCCATGTTTGGTTTCATTCCATTCACTGGTTCTCTAAAAGAAGACATTTGTATGTATTTCCCATAGGTCCTATGTTAAACTAAGTCCCCTGCTGTCGGCCATCTTGGATGATGGACCGACTGCAAAGTAACAACACTTGGTCAGCACCTCATAAGGAACATTCATGCCATGTTTGGTTTCATTCCATTCAGTGGTTCTCTAAAAGAAGACATTTGTATGTATTTCCCATAGGGTCCTATGTTAAACTAAGTCCTCCGCTGGCGGCCATCTTGGATAATGGATCGGCTACAAAGTAACAACACTTGGTCAGCACCTCATAAGGAACATTCATGCCATGTTTGGTTTCATTCCATTCAGTGGTTTTCTAAAAGAAGACATTTGTATGTATTTCCCATAGGGTCCTATGTTAAACTAAGTTCCCCGATGGCAGCCATCTTGGATGATGGATCGGCTACAAAGTAACAACACATGGTCAGCACCTCATAAGGAACATTCATGCCATGTTTGGTTTTATTCCATTCAGTGGTTCTCTAAAAGAAGTCATTTGTATGCATTTCCCATAGGGTCCTATGTTAAACTAAGTCCCCCGCTGGCGGCCATCTTGGATGATGGATCGGCTACAAAGTAACAACACTTGGTCAGCACCTCATAAGGAACATTCATGCCATGTTTGGTTTCATTCCATTCATTGGTTTTCTAAAAGAAGACATTTGTATGTATTTCCCATAGGGTCCTATGTTAAACTAAGTTCCCCGATGGCAGCCATCTTGGATGATGGATCGGCTACAAAGTAACAACACATGGTCAGCACCTCATAAGGAACATTCATGCCATGTTTGGTTTTATTCCATTCAGTGGTTCTCTAAAAGAAGTCATTTGTATGCATTTCCCATAGGGTCCTATGTTAAACTAAGTCCCCCGCTGGCGGCCATCTTGGATGATGGATCGGCTACAAAGTAACAACACTTGGTGAGCACCTCATAAGGAACATTCATGCCATGTTTGGTTTCATTCCATTCAGTGGTTCTCTAAAAGAAGTCATTTGTATGCATTTCCCATAGGGTCCTATGTTAAACTAAGTTCCCCGCTGGCGGCCATCTTGGATGATGGATAGGCTACAAAGTAACAACACTTGGTCAGCACCTCATAAGGAACATTCATTCCATGTTTGGTTTCATTCCATTCAGTGGTTCTCTAGAAGAAGTTCAAAATGTAAAAAGTTAACGCCGACGACGGACGCCAAGTGATGAGAAAAGCTCACTTGGCCCTTTGGGCCAGGTGAACTAAAAATTAGGAGTTTACTGCATCCTGCTAAAATAAATGAAGAATCCTAAATATATGGCAAATTCATTTTTCATTTTCAATTTACAAAGGGACATACCTGGAAAATGGCAATTGATGCCACCCAAATTTGAACTTAATCTGTGTTTGGAGGTTATAAGCATTGTGTAAGAGTTTTATAACATTTGGTTGAGGCAAAGTGAAGTTGGATTGCGGAAATGTCAAATTTAGCAAAGTTCCTGACAAGAATCAGGTATAACATTTAACTATATCTCCATTAGCAGCCATTTGTCAAAATCAAGTTTTTGATTTTTTTCTTGATTTTCAGCTTTAGGCTTGCAGTTGAACTTAAAGAACAATGCTGTCATACCAGTGAAAATATAACAAACACTCTGAGAGTATTGCATGGCAATACATACTCCCCTACCAGTTAAAAATTCATTATACTGGAACAAAATGCTAAAGTGATCTGTAACTTGTTATGATAAAACTATATACCAATTATCAAATCAATATTTTCAAACATGACGAAAAAAAAAGCGGAAAACTGATTATTTGATTGATTTTTCTTAGTCCAAGGACCATAACTCTGCACAAAATCATCAGACCGGAACAAAATTCAAAATTTATCTGTAACATGTCATGATAAAATAATATACCAAATATAAAATCAATATCTTCAAGCACGAGGTCAAAAAGTGTGGAAAACTGATTTGTCCGGACTGACGGATGGAGTGCAAACCTAAAGTCCCCTACAACTTTGTTGGCAGGGGACTAATTTGCCCAATGTGCTGCATAAATGAGGAATTGAATGGTGTCACAATGTGTTGTAGTGGCAAGAGTGTCCCATAAAAATGGTCATATCAAATGACAGAATCATGTGATCAACTACACGTTTAAGCTGAACCAATTGGACATTTCGATCAAATGATCACATTATCAAGTAAAAAAAATTCTGATGTTTAGAGCCAAAACTATGAGTTAATGAACCAACTCCTTTAATACTCTATACTTTTTCTAATCTGCATTTTCCCAATGTACTTTTTAAAATCAGCATTCCCCCAAACCTACATAATATTCCTTACCAACAGAAATAGCTTTACTTGCTCGAGTAACACAATTAAAATCTTTGTTAATCATTATTAAAATCCTGTCCTTTGAATATATCAATGTTTATACTTCCTGCTTGTAGATTACATAAATTACCTGCAGGGCTTTCTGTAATCAATGGCTGTGATCTTCTCCTTACTTCAGACAACTCTGTCCTTAGGTCTTCTGTTGGTGGATGATAAGGACTGCCTGCTGGCATAGTCTTTTAACAAATATTATAATTATAATTAATCCCAGCCTTGTATGAATAAACATAAATACAGCTACAAAATCATAAAAAAAAATCCGAGGGGCTTCTAAATTCCAGTTTTATCCATAAAGTGATTATCTGAATTTGTTGAATTAGTTTTTATTTTTTGAAGTTAATATCATATGAAAGGTGTTAAGAAAATGTAAACATAAGCTTTCCTTATTAGTTGCAATGTGACAGAATGGAAATATTGCCCCTGGATAGTGTCTTGATCATGAAAAAGCTTCTCACAGACTTAACAAAAAAGACATGTAAAAATAGAAAAAAGTCACAAAAAAATGTGTTCTTTTAACAAGCTTTACCTTTCTTCTGTTGATGGATTTTGGGGTCTTCTTTGCTGAAAAATATGTCAAAATTACAGTTATCATCAATGGGAAATACTTTTTAATCTATAAATTATTAATGATTTTATTTTACATGGAGACTTGCTTTTCAGTAAGGAACAAACCTCTAAATTATTAGGAACATTACAGAATAATTCATGTTCAGATATTTTTTCTTTTCTATTCTATAGCTGGATACTAGACATTTCGATTTCACCATTTGATCTTATTTTCTTAAAACTTTAAATAAAAAAATGCTTTACGTTTTGAATCTTCCATATAAATAGAAAAGATGCGAGGTGTGTGTTGATGAGACAGCAACCCAACAACAAAAATAACCAAAAGACATCTTGAGGGCAATATACAGGTGTCTATACAAAATGCCACGCTCTAACTTGTCAAGTCTTTAAAAAGTTATGAATAAATTTAAGAGAAACAATCAAAGATGTGCCAGAAGAACTCAATAATGAAAAAAACATTACCATATGACACAGGACTACTTATTTTTATTCAACATTCAAATGAAATAAGTTAGAATTATATTATTAAATGTGATGTTTTAAATGAAGTTTAAACCTATTTCAAACTTATTTATTATGATCTTTCTATGCATTTAATATATATGTATAGATAAAAGATTATGTTAGCACCAAAAGCAATAAAAAAATCTCTATACCTGAACGTGAGGTTAAGGTACATAGATATATTTTTTTCAGAGACAAGTTAGTGCGTGGATGATGAATAAATGACAGGGAATTCAACCTCACCGTAATAGCTATTATATTGTAGTGATACAAATCGGTATACTCTGGTTTGTTATATATTATATTAATATTTGTATATAACAGTTACATGTATATATAATTTTCATCCATTTGTATATCATACTATTCTAATAATAGTGCAGTGCAAGTGCATGGTGGACACTCTTCTGTAATAATTCAATTTTTCTAATTGATTGGATTTGAGTAGGCATTCATATTTTCTTGCAAAACGTTCTTGAAATATTCTTCCGCATGCGTTAACTCAAATTTTCGGTATACTTGATTTGTTATTGATATATATATATATTTTTCACGAAAATACATTTTCATATCATTTATCTATGTTATTTTGTGTTCGGTTATCAGTCAAAAACGAAAGTCACACGGGTAGAAATGTCTGTGGCTACAAAACACCGGAATGCCCTCACAGTCATCCGATGTAAAAAGTGATGAAATATATGAAATAAGCTAAAATCCTAATGGTTTAGGTTATTCTTTTAAATTATTCTTAGTTGGACTGAATATTTTGATAAATTTTCTTTCCTATCATTGATTTAAGAACTTCCCAATTAATAATTGGCAATTTACATAGAATATACAAGGCCACCCTTAAAATATTGTTTGTCTGATGTTGCCTACAAATGAGTCATAGGGTTGGCGCAGGAAAAAATATTAAAAGGATTTGTGTCAAATTTTTCTGGTAGGCTGATTTTTAGGTGGGCAACATCAAATTTAAATTTATTTTTAGCCCAATGTTGTCACTAAAGCTTGGCCAACTTTAATTTCCCCCTTTAGAATAAACATATAGATAGTCCAAGTGTCTTATTTAATACCTGTTGATTTTTCTGCAGGTGACAATGACCTTGACCTAGGTGTTGTGTTCATCACTGGAGACTGAGACTTGCCAGGAGTTTTAGCATTTGGTGAAGATGTTTTCGGTGATTTTGTTTGCTTTTTTTCAACTGGAGTCTTGGCAGCTGGTGAGGTTAACCTTGCAGGTGATCTAGCTGGTGATTTTGAAACAGGAGACTTAGCAGCTGGTGAAACTGAACTTGCAGGTGACTTGGCTGGTGTTTTTCTAGCAGGAGTCTTTGCAGCTGGTGAGGTTGACCTTGAAGGTGATACTGATCTTACAGGTGACTTGGTTGGCGATTTTGCAACAGGAGTCTTAACAGCTGGTGAGACTGATCTTACAGGTGACTTGGCTGGTGTCTTTGCAGCCGGTGATACTGATCTAGCAGCTGTTTTTGCAACAGGAGTCTTAACAGCTGGTGAGACTGATCTTGCAGGTGACTTGGTAGATGTTTTTGCAGCTGGTGAAACTGATCTACCAGGTGACTTGGCTGGTGTTTTTGCAAGAGTCTTGATAGCTGGTGAGACTGATCTACCAGGTGACTTGGCTGGCAATTTTGCAAGAGGAGTCTTAACAGCTGGTGAGACTGATCTTACTGGTGACTTGGCTGGTGTTTTTGCAGCTGGTGATACTGATCTAGCAGGTGACTTTGCTGGTGTTTTAGCAGCTGGTGAGACTGACCTACCAGTTGTTTTTGTAACAGGTGTCTTGGCAGCTGGTGAAACTGATTTACCAGGTGACTTTGCTGGGGTTTTTGTAACAGGAGTCTTGGCAGCTGGTGAGACTGATCTACCAGGTGACTTTGCTGGTGTTTTAGCAGCTGGTGAGACTGACCTACCAGGTGACTTTACTGATGTTTTAGCAGCTGGTGAGACTGACCTTGCAGGTGACTTTGCTGGTGTTTTAGCTGCAGGGGTCTTAGCAGCTGGTGAGATTGACCTGGCAGATGACTTGGCTGGTGTTTTTGCAGCAGGGGTCTTAGCAGCTGGTGAGATTGATCTAGCAGGTGACTTTGCAGGTGTTTTTGCAGCAGGGGTCTTAGCAGTTAGTGAGACTGATCTACCAGGTGACTTGGCTGGTGTTTTTGCAGCAATAGTCTTTGCAGCTGGTGAAACTAATTTACTAGGTGACTTTGCTGGTGTTTTTGCAATTGGACTTTTGGCATCTGAAGATTTTCTCCTAGGTGATTTTACAGGTGCCTTGATAACTGAGGAGACTACTCTTGCAGGTGACTTTGCTGGTGTTTTCGACCTTGGAGTTTTAGCATCTGGTGACACTGATCTTACAGGTGACTTTGCTGGTGTTTTTGATCTTGGAGTTTTAGCAGCTGGTGATACTGATCTTACGGGTGACTTTGCTGGTGTTTTTGACCTTGGAGTTTTAGCAGCTGGTGATACTGATCTTACAGGTGACTTTGCTGGTGTTTTTGACCTTGGAGTTTTAGCAGCTGGTGATACTGATCTTACAGGTGACTTTGCTGGTGTTTTTGATCTTGGAGTTTTAGCTTGAGTTACCACATCTGGTGAAAGTGGTTTAGCAGATGACTTGGCAGAGGTTTGTGTTTTTGGAGTCTTTGTCTCAGATTTTGCAGGTGTCTTATTCCTTGCAGGAGTCCTAGCGGCAGCATTTTCTAGGACAGATTTCGCTGGTGATTTAGAAGGAGTTTTTGTCTTTGGAGTTCTTCCTGGTGTTTTATTTGACTTTGAATCAGGCAAAGATTTTCTAGCAGGAGATGTTGCAGGAGTATTTACTCTACCATCTGCTCTTGATACATGAACTTTCTTGGCACAGCCTCTAACTGGAGATGGCGACTGTACTCTCGGTTTCTTTCTTTTACTACTGCTGTCTACACCTTCAGACGGATGTGGAGGTTTGGATTTTGGTGTAAGTATTTTCATTGTATTCTTCAAGTTTGCTGGAGTAGAATTATGTCTTGGAGAATTTGGTTTAATTGTTTTAGCTGGCTGGGGAGTAAGTGTACGACCAGCTGGAGTTTTCTTAATTGATGATCCTCCTATACTTTTTCTGTTACTGGGTGATAATGGCTTCAAAGCTAAGGTCTCGTTCATATCAACATTCTGAAAATGAAAGAATATTTTTTAATACTCAGTATTTATTTTTACTTGAAAGAGTATATAGATGTAGGCTATGTAACCACATAAATAAAAAAATCGCCTTTCTGGTTTGAAAATTTCTATATACTAAGGGAAAAGTGTATTTTCCAATATATGACAAATTTTTTCCAACATTAAATTTAAATGATTTCACTTTACATTATGGAACATTTAATTTTGTAAGGTGTGCGATTCCTCATTTTAAACATTGTATGCTGCATGAACACAAGCTTGCCAGCCTTTAATAGGTGGAAAATGTTAGGACATATTACTTATTGAATAACAATTAAGGAGAATTTGAATTCTGTCCAACTGTTTTGTTGATTTATCTAGACTTATTTTATTCCTAATTTCGGAGGCACGTAGTGTAACGGGAATTGTCTTCTCACGTTACGGTTGGAAAGCGTATGAATTTTTTTGGGCAGGAAAAATTATCGTGTTATATGATAGGTGTAGGAATGGTAATTTCTAACATGTACGTTAATGTATGTTGATATTTTTTTTTTAAAATAAGTGTGTTCATATTGGCATTAAAGTTACAACTTTTGTTCTTGATGTTAGGTTGTATGGCTATACAAATGTAATCGGTTTTGTTTTTATTCACTCATTTCTGTCTTCCAAATTATTTTCATATAGCCGCAATCTTTCGACAGATAGATTTTTTGCATTTAAATGTTTTCTGAATGTTCTTATATCAAGTGAGGTCCAACACTTGGGTTTCGCCTGGCATTGACAAAAGGACACAGGTTTCTAATGCTTAACTATGTATGAATGTCCATAATATTTGACTATGTACGCAATGCACATTCGCAAAGCTCTTGCCATGCTAGACCACAGATCACTTTGAGTGTTGGTATGCTTATTTAGATTGTTTGGGACTGGACAAAAAGATGGTCCTCATAACAAAAATTTTTTTTTTCATGAATTACAGAATAAAGAAATGCTTAACGTTTTTTCCATAAAAAACTGAAAATGCAATTTCATGTGCACAAAAATCAAAAAATGAACATGAGCACAAGAAACATGAAAAAATCTTTTCTGCAGAATTGTTATCCTCAAAAGCATAAATCCAATAAGATTTTTAGAATGATAACATAAATTGTTCAGGGCTGTTCCACACCTATAGAAATCAATAATTATACCACCACCACCTATATAATTTAGATTATGTCAACACCAACAACCTATGGAATCTTTAAAACAATCTTTGAAGACCACCACCCATGGATTGATTTTTTTTGCAATGAAAATCAAAAGTAAACAGTACACAGACACAGAGAACACTAAGCCCCCATAAAGAGATTCTATGACAAGAAATTTAATATTTTTGTGAGTTTTTGTTGTTCCTTTATTATCAGTGTTTCCTGCAGCTTTTGAAAAGGGCAGGGTAATTATTTCTCAGTAGGCACTCTTAGCACTATTGGCTACACTTTTAGGGCACTCTTTGCATAGATATAAAGGCCCTGTAATTGATAGGGATTTAATCGAATATACCATTGTTTCATATTCATTGGTAAGAAATAAAGATATGTATATTACTATTAGGTTGTTAATTTAATTTCTTTTTGTAATAACATTATCACTTCTAGACTCAGCTTAGTCCTATACTATAAGACTTCGTAGGTTCATATCGTTTGCATTCAACATTTTTTATCGGATATTTTTTTTTGCATTGGATAGTAAAAAAAAATATCCGATAAAAAACGTTGAATGCAAATGATATGAATCTGTGAAGTCTTATATTATAGGACTAGACTCAGCTAATATAATCTTGATCATGTTCATTGTGGAACTGCCTCATTTCAATCAATAAGTCCAGTTATAAACTTTAATACTGGATCACTGAGACTGATGGTCTAAGGATCGATGTGTTGTGAAAGTGGACTAATGCATGACAATGACAAAGAGCATATATGCGATGCATTGCTTTTAAGATGCACAAAAGGAGTGCTAAATGCCTTTTGGACCTCGCATGATTATACCAATCAAAGCTATCTTAGCTCATAACTGTACAATTAAGTTTTAGGGTATCCAAAGATTTGTATAGCAAGACTTACTACACATATATTTTCTGCTTTTATCTTTTTTCCATCTGTTTTTTTTTTTATTGAAACGTTGATTTTTCGTACTATTCAAAACAAATCAGCTATATTCTTAACTTTAATTTTATTAAGATAACAACAGTATGAAAGCCGTCGTAAATTCACATCCAATTCGACGTCTCGACCGACCAAATAGTATAAATAGAAAATATAAACAAACATCAGATTGTTTGCGATTCTTTACGTAATCAGTGCCAGTGGCAGTGGTAATTTTCATCCCATGCATCGTAAAATTATAACTCAAACGATCGCCTGGTTCCCTTTTAAATTGTCTACATTTTAAATTCGTAGAGTTACAAATTGATTTTGTCCCTATGAGATTCAATCATGAATCGCATTTGTACTCTGTCGCTTCAAAACTGTTCAGACATAATTACGAATTTCAAAAAATGTCGGCCAATAAAATTTTGATTTCGTTCCAAGGGAAATAACTCTAAATGGTCTTGCTTAAATATGAAATGCAGAATCGATATTAAATTACGGTGGGTCATTCTAAAATACAACAGTTGTTGTAGCCTGGGGTCCTTGCTCAACTTGTCAGTATACGCGCAGCTAGATCGGGCCTGAATGCCAGGCGACAGTTGTTGTACCCATACATCACAACTCGGCCGATTCTGTAAAAGTGTAGCAGATTCACCCGAGGATTGCCGATTGTTGTTGTACCATGTGCCAATTTATCAGATTTCAACGAAACGAAATAACCGTAAAAAAAGGGTGTGTATAAGAGTTTATCGCCATCAATAGATGGGATGTAACAATTAATTAATTTCTATATCTTCATATATCAATCTGCATGAATCTAATAAATAAACCAACTATTTAGACCAAAAAAACGCTTGATTCGCTTCGTTTAAAAGTAAAAAATATTTCGTAATTTTTATATGCAACGTAAAGGGAAACAACTCCAACTGTTTTGTACCGAGCGGTTTGTTCAGTACACAGAGTTCAAATACGACCATGTTTTAGATAATCTCTGCAACTATCTAGTAACAATTTGTGCCAAAATCATGTCATCACTGGAAACATGCACACATAAGGGATTAACCCACCACCTATATGTTATTAACTACCAGATAACCATTACCTATAGATATAAATCTATCTCTAAGGGTACCACCAACGTAAATATTTTCTTCCCTCACACGACCAACCATGGAAAAAAAGACCGTTTGCCTTCCCCTGGGGGACATAGTATTTTCTGGAACAGCCCTCATGATGGTTAGTAAATTAAAGCAAGCTTTTCCATCCCGCTAGGATATAGTATAAAATGTTTTATATTTGTACATCTGCTAGGATAACAGTCCAAAATCATTTCTATAGTTGTTGCAGTTTTGTTCATTTAATATTTGGCTTTTTCATTAGTGATCTCCAACTTATTAATATTTGGCTACACAATTGAAGAGCTTGTCATTATGTATGGATACCATAAAGACAACAGTTTGAAGCAGACACAGCAAGAGTACTAAAAAATCTTACTTATGTGTTGTCAATCCCATGATTATTGATCCTAACAATGGAATGGTTTCTGAATTCAAGAAGATTAATATCAAAACTTACCTTAGGTGTACCCATTCCCTTATTTGGTGATCCTTTCACTGGAGTAATAATGGAATTCTTCAAAGGGCTTCTCATTGGGGACTTCCCTGTTACAATAGGAACTTCAAAGCGAAAAGATCTGTCTATGATTGTAAACACATCTCCATGATGAAGTTTTAATGTGGTGTCAATATATTTTGAGTTGACTGTAATTGGATTGACCGTGCTCAGGTTTGTCAAATGAACCTAAAAATAAATAGAAAAGCATGATTGGGATAACATAGAAAATGTAGGAAATTGTAGCATTTAAGAATTTAAATTGGAATATAAAAATTTACTATTATGTAGTAAATGGCCCTTAAAATAAACTTTGCATGAGGATACTCTTAAAGGTATGAATATTTTGTCAAATATGACTGTTAAAAGTCTCATAACTCTGTAATGACAAACCAGAAAAATTTCAAAATCATAAGTGAATCTACATTCACGAATCCTAACAACAGTTTTAAGTTTGTAGCAATTTGATCGCTAAATAATGCATTATATCTAAAGAATGTTTTTTTATTTATAATATATCTGATGGTCCCACAACTCGGAGGCCGCATCAATTTTTTTAAATGAGCTGTTAGTTATGTTCACCAATTCCAACAATATATGAAGTTTCTAGAAAATCAATTTAAGAACTGTAAACACCAAAACAGTGTAAGTAAATTTCTGTCAAATTACAAAAATTGAAAGTGAGTTTCCTTCTATCAATCCATACAATAATGTAAAGTTTTGATGAACTGGAAAACAGTGCCAACTTCAAAATCATAAAATTGATGAATTCATGCAATATGTTTAAATTTATAAAGTGCTTATTTATGGAGCCTTGGGCCAATCACTTCAATAGTCGAGTAAGTATCAGTACAGTGTATCATTACTGGACCTTTTTAAAATCTGCTTGACAGAACCCAACCTTGATACTGTCTACAAAGGTTGAAGACTTTCAGTACAAAATTTGCTCCCTTAATTTAAACCTTTATCAAGATTTGCTGAAAGTGATCCATATTTTTGAAGACCAATTTTCTGTCTGATTTTGATTTATATTATCTCCCAGTTTTTGTACATGTGTTGATTAGTAGTATTTACCTCTCCATTGTCTGATACACTAACTTTACAGTGCTCTCTGGACACATTTGTATTGACAAGTATATTTACCTCTCCATTGTCTGCTACACTAACTTTACATTGCTCTCTGGACACATTTGTGTTGATAAGTATATTTACCTCTCCATTGTCTGCTACACTAACTCTACAGTGCTCTCTGGACACATTTGTGTTGACAAGTATTATTTACCTCTCCATTGTCTGCTACACTAACTCTACAGTGCTCTCTGGACACATGTGTTGACAAGTATTATTTACCTCTCCATTGTCTGCTACACTAACTTTACAGTGCTCTCTGGACACATTTGTATTGACAAGTATATTTACCTCTCCATTGTCTGATACACTAACTTTACAATGCTCTCTGGACACATTTGTATTGACAAGTATATTTACCTCTCCATTGTCTGATACACTAACTTTACAGTGCTCTCTGGACACATTTGTATTGACAAGTATATTTACCTCCATTGTCTGCTACACTAACTCTTGAGTGCTCTCTGGACACATTTGTATTGACAAGTATATTTACCTCTCCATTGTCTGGTACACTAACTTTACAGTGCTCTCTAGACACATTTGTATTGACAAGTATATTTACCTCTCCATTGTCTGCTACACTAACTCTACAGTGCTCTCTTGACACATTTGGAAGCTGAATTCTTATGTCACAATCATTGCTCCTTCAATAAAATTAACTACAGATCTTAGTGAAATTGACTTGCTTAAATTCCTTGCATAACTTTTAACAATTCTATCAAACATAAACTAACATTCATTAATTTATTATAAATAGCTGGGCCATGAGCTCATGATACACCCGTCGCTTTTTCAACGAATAAAGTTCAATTACTCCTCAATGTCATATCAGAAATTTATAAAAGAAACTAAAGGGAGCTATTTTTATAGATATAAACCAGTCACCAAGTTTCATGAAAACTGCTCAAAGCATTTTTGAGTTATTGTCCGAAAACTGGAAAATCCCACAACCTCGGAAACGTATAATCTAAAATTCATAAAAATTGAAAGGGAGCTTATGTCAATAGATATAAACAATTCACTGAGTTTTATGAAAATTAGTTATAGCTTTTTTGAGTTATTGACCATAATATGTCTTGTAAACTACCATATAAAACTGCTTATTTCAATTGTGGAGCATCCCTTTAATTTGAACAGATATGAAACTATCCCCACTTTCCAACATCAGAAGCAAAGTACATTTGTAATTCAAAAACATTTACATTTTAGCCAGAGCCTTGCACAAAAACATTAAAACTTCATTTTCAATTTTAGCTATTACATGTCAGTCAGGGGTACTACTTGTACAAGTAATTTTTATTTACTTGAAGAAGTAATTATAATATACTTATATAAGTAAATTTGTAGGATACTTATACAAGTGTATTTTATTTACTTGTATAAGTAAATTATTTTTTGGCCTAGTTATGTCCCTTAGACATTCAGATTTTTTTACTTATACAAGTAAAAAAGTCATCCTATCTTCTTTTCTTGAATTCTTAGAAATTCTTTGCTCTAACAGAATTTTGAATTGTCTGTCCTTTGCAGATGTCTTTACTATTCATTTAAGTGTAATTTCATGGACAATGAAAATCTCATTTGTCTGTTATCTGTAGAACACTGCTCATTTACAAGCCCCCAAGGAGCAATTTTTGAAGGCCTTGCGCAAATACTTAAGATCTTTGCTCAATCAGTTTCTTTGTTGAATTAATGAGATGAAACATTGAACTCTTATCAAAAATTATGAGCTAACCTGAGAAAAATTGTTAAAGGCATGATTTTTCATCTCAAAACTTGAGAATTTTTGTGGGATTGTAAAAAAATTTACTTATACAAGTAAATTTTTTAGAAAATTAAGGGGAGATTATTCAAACAATATAATTAACTTGTATAAGTATATTTTATTTACTTCTTCAAGTAAATAAAGATTACTTGTACAAGTAGTACCCCTGACTGCATGTGAACAGAAGATCTGAATATATTAAGTTTATTTTTAAATGGAAGCATATTATAGACCAAAAGCAAATGTAACCAAATTATAATTGTTACTGATACATGTATCTAACATTTGGATGATTATAAGTTTACAAGGCTTTGAAATTCAACTTGAGAAAAAAGATCTTGCGATACTTTGTACATGACATAAAACAGAGAAATTTTTAGCATGCATTTTTTGTAAGCTTGAAAGTTGGATAAATAAATTCTATATTCCGAGATAACACATGTGTACATACAGATAAATGTATGAATAAACTATCAATCCCTCGATACATAAAATTCATTATTTTTGTAGAGTATTAAGGAGAAATGTACAATAATTTTACCTTCCAAACAAGCAGTTACTGGTGGTTAAAGGGAACTGGGCTCCATCAGCACCACTTCTTTTGATTACTACAATCTTACCATATAACATTCTGAAAACAAATTCATCAGATCAGACTTTATTATTTATGATCCTTTCTGGGCTATGATTAACCCGAGTCATTAGAAAAGACAAAGTGAAAAACATTTTTTGGGGATAAGGTATCGGAAACCTCACATATTTCTCTAAGAAGGAAGTTAACACTTGGTTAAAAAATAACAGAGTAAATATTTTATGTAATTCTTTGTTTTTTGCTACTTAAAAACACAAACCAAAAGTATTTTGCAGATAGAAGAAAACTCAGTAAAGGGGCTGTTTATATATCAAACAAGAAAAATCTTGTGTAAAAACCATTACCACACAAGTGTCTTTAACTGTACTTTGCCACTCTACCCTAAAGTCTCTACATTTGAAACACTCCATAAGACAAAGCCAGAATAAAATGTAAAATGCTTTTTAAACTGCAATAAATTTCAATAACTCATCTAAGCCCCAACTTCCACAATTTTTTTTTTGTCTCATATAAAGAATGTCCAAGTCTAGCTTTGCAACAATGGGCTATCTCAGAAATAGTCTATCCTAGTATCTGGTTCATTCGCACCCTTCACATTCATAACCAACGCATTTGATACCTGGATGGGTTTGTTGGTACTGGCTACCCTGCACGTTTGCACCAAATTTCTATTCAAATACAGTTTGAATTATCAGACATTATTAAAATGTATTTATCAAAATATTTATATTTTCATGAATAAAAAAACTTGAATTTTTATAAATATGTATTTTTTTGGTGATTAGATGGTTAATAATTTACGATTACTGTAAATTGGTATTTAAAAAGCTAATTTTCATTATTGTTAGAACTACAAAATGTAGCTTTGGTGTAGTTACTAAATATTTTAGTGCTCGTTTTGATTTGGACTAGTGCATGTTTTTAATGATTGTGTGAGCTGTTTATGTTTATGCTTGCATCAAGCTTCATACACCTCATCGCTATTTGTCCGCCATTACTGGACATCACAAAGGTTCCCGTTTAATTTTGACATCATAAAAGAAAATATCTGACGCCACAATGGAAAAGTGATTGTTGTATGACGTCAATAGTTCAAGCGGCGCAGATTTCCAAATAGCAATAAGGTGTATTGTGATTGTGACGAGTTTGGTGACCATCTAATATCTTCAACCTTTTTTTTTTAGATGAATGAGCTTGGCCTTTTATCATCAAGACAATATTCATTTTTCATTTCTTCAAAATAATTCTCAAAACACTAAAAGAAATATGTTTCCATGTACCTTTTTAAAAAAAATTTTTTCTTTTTAAAACAATAAAATCTTATTATCTTTGATTAAAAGCAATACACTAAAAAGTAAAAAATATGATCAAAAATTTATTCAACAAAAATTATATAAAAAAGGGTGTGAATGTGATTTTGGGCAAACAGACCCAGTTATGCATGTCCGCCACCGCTATGGAAAACATGCAAAGTCAAAATTTTTTAGATGTAGCAAAAATGTCTGGATTTTCTATTTGTCTAACCAAGTTGAAGTTTTCTGAAAATCCAGCATCTGCCATACTCCAATCTGGAGTAATCTTTTAATGAATGGATTACATCAGTGGACCGAAGCCAGAGATCTATCAGCATAAATGATGCCATCAAACAATCATTTTTCTAACTGTAACAGGAAATTTACAGGAAGTGCAAGAAATAGAGTCATCTATATGGTTTCAGAACAAAAAATTGGTCAAATTCCAGTGTCTTCCGTGGCATATAAAAAAAGGGGGGGCAGACAATTTCTGGAGTAGATAGGTTTCTAATGACGTATTTTGTGTTAAGAGTTATTCGTGGCAACCGTTGAATTTCTTATTTGACTGACCAAATCGAAACATGCCATACAACAGATATTTTTTTTCGTCAACAATAATATTTTTAGATACCGTACAGGTTTTGAACATTACAATAGAAACGGCAGGTCAACTATAAATAAATGTTTCTATACAGTAAGTTTTATTTTTAAATTAAAAACGTGTAAACAAACTTGCATAAATCTTTTGCATGTCGTTTCTATTTTACTGAACTTGCAAAAAGGTTCACTTAAAAAATACATAAACAAAGCCGTTGCGTTTGTGGAAAAAATGTATCTGTATACTAAGTTATTTGCAATTTCTACAAAAAAAATCTCAGCTTACCTCACGTAAATTTGTTCTAAGCTACCACATAAAATTCAGGGGAATTGTATTAAAATGACTATATCCATTAAAATAGGGTTACAGGACCTCTTCGTCTTTTCGGGCCTACCGCGCGAAATGAAATCCTAAAGTAGTGGTCACATATCCATCCACTTACAATATAGTTCTACTACTATATTCTAACTCCAATTGCTTTATTGCATTTTGAACTTTGAAAAGTCAGTCAGTATTTTAAAATCAATATATTGTCTGAAAATTTAATTAAATAAAGTATATTTTACAAGAAAAGATTACCTTCTTTCAGATTTTAGCGTATTAATTTAGAAACGCCAAATTCAAATTTTCTAAGAGGTGCATTATGATTGGCTTATTCATTTAGGTCAAGGGCTAGTGGAAAGGCCACGGTTTGTTTTGAAACAGTAAAGCATAAATATTTGTTGTGTATTGCTGAAAACAGTAAGTAAGAACTTAAAGATCAAATGCAGTTGTGATATACGTAGTATCATGAATAAGTTACTATAAGATCATGTATGATTGAGAAGAAAATAATGTAAATTGGGCATAAACGGTGTCGTAGAGACATATGTATCTGGGGCTACGAATGATGCCTGACGGACGCGACGCAACTCTCAAGGCTTTGCTTTATTATTCATTTAAGTAATGTTCAATGTACAAGAAAACACAGCAAATATTCATTGACATAGCTTATTTGCAGAGTATAGCTGCTATACAGTAGTTCATATTCTATTTACTGTGTCTGTGAAGTAAAAAACAAATATTTTCATTTTTGTAATTGTAAAACCGCCATTTTTATATGTTGAATGAACCAATCGGATTGTTCATAGCTTTTTACTACAGATATGCTTGAGTAAACTTTTGAACGGAAACCACTTTTTCGTGATACAATTCAAGTAATATTTTTTTCCTGATGTTATTAGTTCCCACGGCTAGCAAGTTAAGGTTTAAAAAATTGACACACATTTGTATGTTTTAATAGTTTTATGTCCCCTTTTAAAGTGCCAATGAAACGAAATTGTTCAGTGCAATGAAACAGAATATTATTTTCTTATGTTATAATGAATATATACTGTCAGAGGTCAAAAGTGTTTCACCATCTGAAAATCTGATACAGAGAGTGACAAAAGTATTTGTCACATATGGCTGTGGTGTGATCTGACAATAGACTAGTATTTAAAAGACCTTATCGTTATTTTAAAATCTGCGTCGCTTGACCTGAGAATCTGCGGCTCTTGAACTATTGACGCCGTGCAACAATCACTTTTCCATTGTGGCATCATATATTTTCTATTGTGACGTCAAAATTTTACGGGAACCTTTGTGATGTCCAGTAATGGCGGACCACTAGCGATAAGGTGTATTAACTGTATCTTAAAAAGAAACTCATTTTGCTATAAATTTAACTAGAAGATGCCTGTTAAATCGTGGTACATTTGGGCAAGTGTTGAAACAAAGAGTGTCAAGGGTGCCTGTGTTAACACATGTAAAGAAGGGAGGGGTCCAGAAGTCGGGTGCCTGTGTTTACACATAAAAAGGTGGGAGGATCACTTTGACACATTCAATGTCCATTTCATTTTTGGACAGTAAAAAGGGTGGATGTCGTTTAATTTAGCAAAATGATGCACTTACAATACAATAAGGATCCTTATAGGCCTAACTGTCCTATTTTCTATCCTTTCTTCTTACTTTCATTTGGATTTTGCAGGCAGTGCGATAAGGGTCTCTGAATTTGGATATTTTCTCAAAAATTGGTGTTTTCTGTGGAAAAAAGATTGTTTCAAAGACAAATTTAGGAAGTACAAAACACTACATTTATACCTCATATCACAAATATTTCCGACTGTATGGTTTCAGAGGAGTTGCAGCTCTATGAAATCGGTCTCTTCCTTTAGAACATTAGATATTAAAACAAAACCTTACCTTAACATCTAAGAGAGGTTTCCCTTAAATCTATTTTATTTTTAATTCATACAAACTTCTTATATGATATTAACCCTCTTGCTGTCAATACTAAAATATGGTTGCATTTTGTGTGCCAGAATATACGGCAGCTTGAGATCTGTCCTTGTTGCATGCCAAAATAAGACGTCATTCAATATATGACGTCACGCATTAATGACATTACAAGTAAAACAGATAGAAGAAAAATATTACACTTTCATCAAAGTTATGTTTGGATTGTACAAATGTAATTTAAAAAGTTTTGTGTAGACTGTAATAATGTGTAACAATAAATAAATTCTTTTTCAGAAATGCCAAGTAAAACACCTAAGAAAGGCAATACAGCTTCACAGAAAAGGTATCCATCAGTTTAAACTAGGGTTTGGTTCCCAATAAACTTCACTTGCTTTAAACATAAATTGGTTTTGAACTAAGTACATGTAAGCTGGATTTTCATCTCAGCCCAATTTTTATTTTAGCTGACTGGTCCTTTGGGTCTATTATTATCTGTTTATTGTCAGCAATTTTTGTAAACCTTTGTACTAAAAGACTAACTTTAATCAAACTTGGACAAGAATTGCAGGGCTCACACAAATTCAGAATCATAGGGAGAAGTGACTTCTCTTTTTGAAACTGAGAGGGAGAAGTGCTCGTTCGCTTGCGGCGCTACAATGTTTGATTTTTACTATAATACAAAGGGCCATATATATGTATCTTATTTTTTATATTGTTCAATTTGTATCTGGAAAAACAATAAAAGTAACAGTTCAAATTCAAAGATTTTTAGTTGTATCATATCTAGTTGCACAATCATATTAGTCCTCTTGTCAGAAAAAAACAGTTAAATATCTAGCAATAATAAAAAAAGAGTTTTTTTGTATCAAAAATGAAAAGAAAGTTGTTATATCAATTAAAATGTACTCTGTTATGTTTATGAAATTCAGTGTTTCTCATTAAAAAGATATATAAATTTTATTATTTAACACAGTTAAGCTTGGACGACTGGACGTAGTATAATAGATCCAGAGTTGAGCAATTTTAATTAATAAATTGAAACAATGCATATACATTAGTCAAGTAGATCTAACCAAAAGTATGTTAATGCGCGTGGAATGCATAATTTTTCCTTTTGGGATCAATATTCCTCTGTCAGCTGTGCGTCCGTACTGACAGTAGTCATTAATCGTAAGAATATGGATTTCTGTCATAGCTGGTCCGGTTCCTATCAGTAGTTAGTACAAATATTTCAATGGCGGACAAAGAAAAATTTACAAAAATAAACGATGTTTGACACACTATTTGGAAAGGAATATGACAATTTTAATGCAATACATTGATAACAAATTTACTTCAGGCAAATTTCATCATGTTCTAATGAAGTAACAAACTTATTTTGCCAAAAGTTAGAATGATTTAATGTACGCTATCGAGTAACAAGTACCAAAAGTAATAAAAAATTGTTTTTATGAAATAACATGCAACAAACTTTAAAATCAAAGCTTTAACCTCTTTTTTGAATTAAATAAATCGTTTATGTCTTTGAATTTCTTTACTTTAAAATGAAAAATTGCTGTTTCATCGACTTGATAAAAATTGAATATTGCAGATGATGAAAGTGAGTATCGTAAACAACAGGGAACTAGATTTCGCTTTTGACGGTCTGGCAAAGCGAAGTGACGGCCGGAAAAGCGACTTTGTCGTCCCAGTCCCATGGTAGCGTGAGCCCTGAATTGTAGCTAATGCCTTTTTATAAAATCTCATTCATTTAAATAATAGACTAGAGAGATTGTAAAACTCAAAATGGATTCTTTTTCTCCAATGGTATTGTCTTTTTTCAAGCAACAGATTGTTAATTATGGTGCAGCCTTTCACCAAGGAGAAAGGGTCCATTTTTCATGAACAACATTACTTTGCTTTTTCAGCTATATTCTTTCCATTTATACACTGACAATTCAATATACATCTGTTTTAGATCACCAGGCACTCCCAAATCTCCAGGATGGGTGTCAGGAAGAGATGCTGTGTTCATATCACCAAAGTCTTTGTCTCCCAAAATAGCAAATAAAAGAAGGTTTGTAGTGAAGTAAAAACAATTTTACCAACTTCTGACTATCTCCTCTACATTAGGGTCCTTCATGATATATCATCTGTATGTTAGCAAACTGCAAGGATGGCAAATTAAAGTTGGGGAAATATTCAAATATTAGCAGTACTGTCCAAAGTGTCCATTTATAAATAAAAAATTTTCCATTGGCATTTTACAACTCAACAGCTTATAAGAAGATACTGGCATACAGTTATTACCATTAGCGTGAAAGTATAATTTGAGTGTCAACTTGAATCATTTTGTATACACATTTATATTGAAATCACTGCAAGCTCTTTGTTTTTCTTTGAGTAACATCATAATATTGTTAGAGAATTCTTAGGTAATAAGATATGCTAATGATTTAAATTAGATATTTCATAGAGCAAATCTGTGTTACTTCCAGAAAGGGAAGCTTTATTTGTTACTTCCAGGAAGGGCAGTTTTATTTGTTACTTCCAGGAAGGGGAGTTTTATTTGTTACTACCAGGAAGGGGAGTTTTATTTGTTACTTCCAGGAAGGCAGTTTTATTTGTTACTTCCAGGAAGGGCAGTTTTATTTGTTACTTCCAGGAACAGGAAGGGGAGTTTTATTTGTTACTTCCAGGAAGGGCAGATTTATTTGTTACTTCCAGGAAGGGCAGATTTATTTGTTACTTCCAGGAAGGGCAGTTTTATTTGTTACTTCCAGGAGGGTCAGTTTTATTTGTTACTTCCAGGAAGGGCAGTTTTATTTGTTACTTCCAGGAAGGGCAGTTTTATTTAATGTTTTTAGTGAATCCAATACTTTGTAGAAGTTTTTAGAATTAAAATTGTATCATTTTTTTTATTATTAAATAATGTTAACTTGAAAGAATAATATCTCGAATTACAATTTTTGTAGAAATTTTACTGATAATTAGGTTAAAATTGAATATTTTTACATGCCAATCAATCAGTCAGTATGTATAATTTAATTAGACTAAAATGACAGTTTTAGACAAAATGACACCCTAATGGGATTATACATATACATGTATAGTAAACTGTTAATTGACATGTAATAGATTGGAGTTAATTGATGTAAGAAATGTTCACTAAAATTGAGCTATTTGTTGACACAATTCATTGATATAAAACAATATTTGATGCTAACCACAAACAATAATAATACAGTATGGTGAATGCAAAGGAAAGGTGAGTGTTTAAAGCAAACATGAAAACAATAATTTCTTGTTTTCAAACTTTAGAAATACATGTTTATTCATACATAAAAGAGTTGAGAGATGTAAGTGTAAGTTTAGGATGACATTTGTTTAAAACATACAAAATACAAAAGATGTATATATGTTCAATAAAATCTGTTCTCTAACAGCAGCTGCACATACACCATGTACAAATTACACACAGTCCTCAGTAATGTGAACAATGCAGAAAAATTACAATCATGTTCAGTGCAGAGTGTAACTCAGTAAAGGAGAGACATTTTGTCCTGTAAATAAACAGAAAAAAATAAACAAATTGAATGATAAAATTAATTACCAAAGAAGAAAGGCAGAAATTGTTAATATCAGCCTAAGACAATCTCTTCACAATAAACTTTTAAATCTACTGGCCAGTCGCTCAATTTTTGGAAAATTTTAGTTAGATTTCTGTTGGCCTATAGAGATGATTTTTACAGGCCCAAAAGCAATTTTACCAGCCTGAGCTGCTGGGCCTGTTGTGAAGCTCGAAGATATAAGACCTTAATATGGCATACTAATGATACTTTGACATTTTTCATCTGATGTCACAAGTGTGTATGTTGACCAAATTAAGGTGGTACCTAACACTACAGGGAGATAACTCTGTAAAAATCAGCTAGACGTTTTAATCATGTTGTATTGTTAAGGAAATATTAAGCTTCTCAATGATCAAAATTAGTGTTTGTCAAACTGCTATATAACCAATGAAATTTTTCTGATAAAGTGGTTGGTTGAAATTTTTGTATTTTTGTCAAAGGGTCAAAGTAAACATTTTGTCAAAATTTTATGAAAATTAAACGAGCCAAATTAATATTAGTCAAGGTGTTGGGTACCACCTTAAGCTAATTTCAAGAACATTTTGACTCACTTAAAACAGTGCACCAGCATCATTCTTATCCAGAGAACAGATGAACATCAGTCTTCCAGCTTGAATCTTAGGGCAGAAGGGTGCTAGTTGTCTCAAAGGGCACTTTTGCGCAAATCAACCAGATTGTAAAGGCACTGTTGGACAGTGTAAATAACCTTGAATTTTGCAAGACTCAACTGGAGGACAATTGTTGTATTTTAAGCATATTTTGAAATGATTTTGTTCTTGATGTTGTTGCCAGTAGGAATTTTTTATCACATCATACCATGAACCAAAGCATATTTATATATATATATATTATTTCAATTTTAATCTAAACACACTTGTACATTTGGTAATGAAAATAATTATCAGAAATTTCAATGTTTTATAACTGATACCAGTCTTTAAAATTAAACAAGTAGTTTTGAAAGATGGAGGTAAACACGCATAATTGAATTGTTAATGCAATAGAATTATTTACATTTATAAAATACTTCAAACAATAAAGGATATGTTATTGAAAGTTACTTATTCTCATGTAAAGTATTTTTTAAGTGCACACCAAAGTGCTCCTTAGTAAGGAGTTTTATAGATATAAAATGTAAAACAGGAGATGATAATATCATATTTATACATACATTGCAGAATGTATTAACAGCTACATTTTTATACGACTGCAAAAATTTTTTGTGGTCGTATATTGGTATCACGTCGTCGTCATCCGAAGACACTTGGTTTCCGGACAATAACTTTAGTATTAGTGAATAGAAATCTATGAACTTTAAACACAAGGTTTATAACCACAAAAGGAAGGTTGGGAGTTATGGTCTTTACAGTTTAGGAATTAGGGGCCAAATAATCATTTTTCTAGTTTTCAGACAATAACTTGTGGAACGGTGTATGGATCTCTCTGAAATTGTACAAGTTTCCATACCACAAAGGGATGGTTAGAATTGGCTTTGGGGGGTAATGGCTCAAACCGTTTAGGAATTAGGGGCAAAAAAGGGGGGAAAAACAAGGGTTTCCTTGTTAATGGACAATCACTTTTAAGTACAATGTTTGATTTGGATTACCTCCCTTACACTGCTTTAAAACTATGTATAAAGAAATTTTGTATTGTCTCGAGGTGATTAGCTGTCAATTTATTTTTATAAATTACTAATAAAAATGCTGATTAAAGATATATTATTTTTAGACATGATTATGTATGTCATTTTCTATTTTAAGACTTTTATGATGTATTTAAATGGGTAATTATGGTTGCAAACTCCATTGGCAATTTGAATTGAGATAATGACCATATCTTGAGGGAAAGATTTTTTTTTTTGGAAAAAGGGGAGGGGGAGGGGAGGTGAAAAAAAATTGGGGGGGGAACAATTTTTTTTCTTTCTCATTACAGATTTCAGAAATTAAAAAGAAAATTTCTTCAAATATTTTTTTTTTGCCAAGGGGTTGGGTTAAAGAAATATTTTTTGCCAAAAAAAAAAGGGGTGAAATTTTTTTTTTTTTGAGGGGGGGGGGGTCAATTTGCAACAGCAAAGTGTATTGCACAAAAGCAAAAAATAAGGGGGGGGGGGGCAATTCGCAACAGCATAGTGAATTGCACAAAAGCAAAAAATTGAATATAAATTCAAATCATATAACCAATTCTAAGTTCTTTGACTACAGTTATTCTGTGTCAGAAACCTATTATGTGTCAAACATTTAATTTCAATCCAAATTCAGACCTGTATCAAGCACGAATATTGTGTCCATTTTTGTCCCAACTGTTCAGGGTTGGACCTCTATGGTCGTATCCAGCTGCGCTTGGCGAAGCAATTTATTTTTTCTATAATTATTAAGAATTAAAGCATTTTGTTAAGTGCTCCTATTGCAAGGAGGATTATAAATACAAGTAAAACAGGAAGTGATGCAATCTTCTTTATGTTCAAAATAAGAATTTCTTTAAGTTTATAATTGGGATTATTGAATTTAATTTTTTTTCTAATTTTGGCTAAATTATGTTTTTTTTTTTAAATTTGTTTATAATTTTATTTTTTGTCAATGCCTACTTTAATGAGGCCCCTCATGGGGGTGTCCAAGTAATCACATAATCACATATTTTTTGCCAATATAATCACATAATCATTAATTATTTTTTTAAACAAGATAATCAACGTGATCAAATAATAAAAAAAAAGCAGTCCTAGATTATCAAATAATCATGAAATATTTTGTCTGGTAATCAAATAACCACTTTAAAAACTGCCAAGTTATCGCATAATCAAAAACCCCATGAGGAGGCTCTTTAATAAAGTTTTACAGGTGTACATCCTGTACATAAACATTTACAAACGAATAACACACATGTGGACATTTTCATTTTGTATTAAATATCTAATTATTTGTTCAATTATCATTAATCACTTAATTAGCAGTAAGCAATCATTAACACGGCAATAGACATTTGACCGCCAAAATTTTAAGACATTTGTGCGAAACTAAAAATAAGCATAGGACATTTGAGCGAAAAAAAACATTAAAAAATGATGAAGGAGTACCTTTTCCGTTTGCCAGATATAATCTGTTACCCCTGCTCACCACAGGTAAAATTCGGCAATGGCATTATTTACAAGTCAGTTCAGGCTTGAAATTTATATCCTAGACTTCTGACATAAAAAAAAAATCCCTCCTTATTTCCTGCTGTCAAACAGTGAATTTAAGTCCAGGAGATTCTGTTCCTCCTTCTTGTCCGTTCGGCTTTGAGGGAACAACAATTTGATGTAAGTTTCAGTCAAGTAATGGGCAAAGTCTATTCTACTATTCAACTCAGGACTACACTACCATTTACTAGCAGAACCGGTCGAAATTACTCATGTAACATCAAATAAAATATATTTATTTTAAAAACTTACACTTTTTTTTTACTTTTTAAAAATATTTCTTAATTCATATAAAAGTATCACAGGAAATTTCGTTCAAGCGTCTGATTTGAACATCAAGGTAAAGTTAAAAATTCCAGCACTAAAATGTCCTATGATGTCAGCCCTCAAATGACCCTATGTGCAATTATATTTTCGCTCAAATGTCCTATGCCCCGTTAACAGAGGTGATAAAACTGCCAAAGGTTAGGTATTTAATTTTATGCCATTGTCAGTTATTTAGTGTTACACAATATCAGGTAACCATTTTACCGGAAATGCGGATAGGCATGTACAATGAAGTTTGAAAAGTTTATTTTTTTAAAAGTCAGAGGGGTGCATTTTTTTGCTTTGGAGGGGGTAGGGCACCAAGGACAGGGCCCTTCTATTAAGGGAAGGCAGGAACACTAAACATTAAATACCCTTCCTATTTAAATCACGTACTATCTGGTGTGCACATTTCTTCAACAAGGAATGTGCTTGATATTCTAATATAAAGATAAGAATATGTGGTATGATTGCCAATGAGACAACTCTCCACAAGAGACCAAATGACATAGAAGTTAACATTTATAGGACACCGTATGATGCAGTCTTATGTTAAATATTGCTGAAAATTGTAATTTTACTGGATTAACTTTCGTACTCCAGCTGTATACCCAAAGAATAGGGATGTTTTGAACCAAAAATTTAATGTTTTATTATTAAAGTACATAGACTGAGTATTTGAAATACAAATTACACAGTTTGAAATACATAACAATTTTGTATTAGTGCCAATTTGACCCAAATTCACACTGTCTTTAAAAGTGACAAAAATATCTTTGCCAAAATCATTCATCAGGCAAAGAAAACCTGTGTTTCAGCTATCATGCTCCTAAAATATGAGTTTGAAGAACAGGCAGATAATTTTGTTTTTGAAAAAGTTTTTAACTGGTTTCAACAAGGGCAGATCTTTTTGCAAGGCACAAAAAATTGAGGTTGTTTGTTGCTAGCGGAAATAAATTTTATGTCTGATAAAAGATTGACAGCTTAAAATTGTATTTTTTGTCTGTAAGTGAAACATGCATAATACATGCTTACAGCAATTTTTTTGGAATGACATGAAGTACACTATATATTTCATCACATGTCAAAGTTGATTTTAATTTTTATTGAGTATGATCATTAATTAGCTGAAATGAACATGTCAGTTTGTCCCACAAACTTTAGTTATCAATATTACACTTTTCTGTTTTAGGACATCTGTATATCAGAAAACAAAAATAATGTCACCAGGACTGAAGATACCAATTACACAAATCATTTCACCTAAGGGTGTCCAGACAAGATCAAGAAGATCTTCAATGTTCGGCGTCTATAGAAAGGGAGGAATAAGGTTAATAGATATTCCTATCACACCTGAAGCGAAAAAGATTTCACCAACCAAAACTCGAACACGAAGGACATCTGTATATCAGAAAGACATCACAAAAGATACTCAACAGAGAACAAGAAGGAGGACATCTGTATACCAGAACAACCTAACAAAAGATACTCAACAGAGAACAAACAGGAGAACATCAGTGTATCAAAAGCCCAAAGATGTCCAACCAAAACAAGTAACAAACAAAGCGTCAGAACCAATCAAACAACCGACTAGGAGGGTCAGAAATAGGAGTCCAGTAATCAAACCACCGACTAGGAGGGTCAGAAATAGGAGTCCAGTAGAAACAGAAGTCTTCATAAATGTTAAGAAACAAGTTATTCAATCTCCTGTAGTCAGTCTAGTAGATGTCATCTCACCAGGTAAGATGCCATCACATCAGAATTCACCTGTTATAAACAAGTCAAAGTCAGAGGGAACTGTACGAACTCCGTCCACTGCAAAAAAATCTCAGGGAATAACACAGCTTCAAAAGAGTGTGTCAGCAACACAAAGTTTCAAAACTCCAAAACAACATGTAAGTTCCTCTAAAAAATCCAGTGTGAGGAAGTCCAGCAGAAAGACATCTACCAAAAAACTGAGTCCTAATGAATCAAAACAAATACTGGTAGTAAGAAATACTCCAGCAACAGCCAAAAAAGGATCTGTAGCAATTACAGATGAAGAAAGTTTGTTAATAACTTTCAAAACACCTGCTCCACTTGGATCAATCAGTAGGTCTGCAAGAAAGCGCAAGGCAGTAGAAAAGATAAGTCCACCTGCAAAAAAATGTATCCTTGACCTTTCACCTGTGGAAAAAGTTCCATTTAAAACACCATACAAGTTAGATAAATCTCCTGTTCTGTTGCTGAGAAGAACACCTTTAACGGATGTATTCACTAGTACACCAAGAGAGATACAACCATCTAACACTCCATTGAAACCTTCAATATCAACCTTAGGAAGAAAAAGTTTAAAGCGATCTAGACATACATTAAGTAAGACCAAAAAAGTTTCAATAGTTTCTGATTTAAAAACTCCAGACAGTAACAGACGAAGCTTGACAGCTAGGAGGAAAGGTACACCTGCCAAAGTCAGTATTGAGAACCGTGAATCATCATCTAATGTAACATCGTTAGGAGATAGCCAAGGGAATCAAACAATTACCTCCATAGGTAACACAACTTCTCATTCTAGTGCTGGTAGATGTACTATTCTTTAGAGGTTGTAGTTTATTATATTTAATATTTGTATTGTGATCAGAAATTAGAACTTTTCCTATTTTTGTAGAAACTTTTCTATATGCAAGTACAGTTCAGTACATATCACATGTGAAATGCTATCATACTTTTATGAAAATACAATTGTCAAAACTATGATTTATCATTACATTTTTATGTTTCTTAGGGTTGTACGCTTACCTTGTTTCTAATATGGCATACAACAAGACTTGAACCTGTCAAATTCTGTTTTACTGAAAAGTAAACATTGTCAGTGTCGAGAAATAATGTAAACATAATACATAAAAAAAGAGTTGAGCATGCAGAACATTTGCTTCTATATAAACTGTTAAAATATTAATCAGTTACACAATGAAAAGTTACTATGGAATCCATCTGTTTATTACATAACACTTGTTAGTGGATACATTGTACATTTATACAGGTCTGTTTATATTTATAATGATGTTAACTTTCTATTCTGGGTTTTTGATGTGCAATTTTACAAATATTTTCTTTGTCACAATACCTCATGACAGGTAGTTTTTCTCACCCTTGTCCTTAATCTTATGGGGGATAGTCGTAGCATTGGCACTCATACAGCATATCTATATTTTTATATCCATGTCTTATTTGCTGGTTGTGAACTTGCTGCTGTACAATTATAAGCAAATGAAATTATACTGTGCAAGCAAAACCATAAACTCCTTAGAAAATGATTGACGAGAATTTTTTTACGGGTATCTTCAGTAAGTCATAATTCAACTTAATGCATAACAAATTTAATTTACATATTTATATTATAGTGATAATAATAAGAAAAGTTCTAATTCTTGACCTTATGTTTTATCGAGATCTCAAGAGATGGAAGGAAATGGCATTAATGCATTTTATTAATGATTTATGTATATAAGTTTGTTATTTATTTTTTGTTAAGAATTAAATGGTGATAGACTGGAAACCAATAAAAAGTTGAAGCATTTTGTTTACCACAGCCTTTAAGATATCAATCAGAAAGTTACTGAGTAAGACTGATTATTGTTATTTAGTACCGAACTGGTCCTTTTTTCTTTTTTAAATATTTGTGAAATTTTGGTTATAAATGATCAGTTATAGAATAACTAATAGAAGAGTTTGAATATTAAAAAAAATATTCATTGAGTGACCAAACAACACATTAATTCACTAGTACTACCTCTATTGTTGGTCATCCACAACCACCATTTTTATGCAAATTTTCTTTAAAATACCATTTCACAGGTGGGAAAATACATGATTTATTTTACATTTGAAGAATTAGTTTTTATATGACTTAAAGTATACAAAATGACTTTTTTGTTTCAATTTGCATACTACTTTCAATTTTGTTTGAGGTAATTTATTGGAGTCCGTCACATAGTTGATTGTTTAATCTGTTTTGATTTATTTTGGGAGAGTGTTGTTTAGAAAGGTTTATGCAGAATGATTGAGAATCTATAATAATGTGTTCAGATGTAAATAGGTTGTGCTTGCAATAGGCAAGATTGGACAGAATTTAGTATGTGGCAATGGATTAACTCTCAATTTAAACATATTTGTATATTTTATTTGATATTATTTTTACTTAAGAAATTTTATATTTACACCAGCAAGTGAACAAGTTTTAGAAGGAATATTGATCAAGGCCACACCATATTTTTATCTATGAATTCTTTGGAATTTATGTCATCAATTTTTTTCACCATATTTACTGTTTTAGAGAATAACATTCCCTTTTGAGCTTTTTTTAACAATTCAGTGAACAAATGGATTGTAAGTGTTAATTCCAGTAAACCTCCAAAAATTGGAAATGTCACACGTTTTTCTGACATTCCTTTTTGTTGCACCTTCAGGACACGAAACAAAATAACAAATAACTAGTCTGTTTTCCTTTTCAATGACCTGTAAGGATTGAATTATTAATTTGGTGTTGTTTTGATATAATATTTTTTTTTAATTGAGAAAATTTTAAGAATTTGTATTCATTATGATCATGTTATTTATCTCATTGACTCTAGATTATATTTGGAGTATAAATATATTTCTTTCTCCTAATTTCTTCTTTGTCTATCTTTCCTTTGTCCATTTATTTGTATGATCAGATTTTAACATGGTTTAATTTTGTAAAACTTTATAAACAACAAATGCTCTTTTGATTTTAACTTTATAAAAAATAATACTGATGTGGTACGGGTTAAACAATCATTTTGGTGGTAGTAAGTCATTTCAGAAAGACAGATGATTGTGACAATACAGAAGTAATACATGTAGTTAACAGCACAAATAAAATAGAATACTATTCATACTGATAGATGGACAGTTTTCATTCTTTTCTTCTTACTTTGTAAGATGCCACAGATGTACATTGTGTATACATATATTTTGTAAATAGAGCTAAAAACTGTCATGGTGGATTTATTAGATTTACTATGCAGTTTAAATTCACAGCTTGTATCTAAAATGATTTTTTGTGAGGGGAATGTATTCTTTATACAGATAACAGTTTTGCTACATGTTTGATTTTTTTTTTTTTTTTTTACATTTTCCTTAGTGTCAAATATGCATTATCTTTTTATGCTGATGAGACTATTAAATAGTATTGGCCATGTATTTCAATGTGCTGTTTCTTTATTCCAGTTTTTTCTTTTATTTATTTTTTTATTTCTACATATAAACCTTATTTTAAACTATAGTCTTTATCAAACATTTAGTTTAAAATTTTAGTTTTTAGAAATATTCATCAATTAACTTTTTATGATTGTATTTGAGCAACCACTGTAAGCAGGAAAGTGTTGTGGATTAACATATTATTAACAATTAAATTTCATTTAAAAGATTTAATTTTTTATTTAAGATGCTGTTATCTGGTAAAATACGTCAGTATGATAGAGTCAACGGGAGGGAGTGATATCTAATGCTTTTGTCATAAACTACAATTAATGTGTTCTCTAATTAGTTTTATCTTCATCATGTTTTAAAAAATTATGGAATATATAAGGGCATTGTTTGTCATTTGATATGACAAGGAAAATAATTATGAGAAAATTTGTCACAACTTGTACACAAGACAAAAGGATAGTTTAAGGATGTAGTGTTTGGACTCCTTGGTTTTTTTCCTGCGATACAGGGTAAAATATTTTGCCCCATATCACCCACTTTTCTTTTCATAGAAGTCTTCAATAGCTCATAAAAAGGTCATAACCTAAATTCAAGCAGATTCAAGAGTTTTTTTCTTACAAATTGAGACCCAAACAATGCCAATGCTAAATATAAGGTAAAAGTCCTAGTCAGCCTTTTCCCTCCATTTTTAAAAAATCAAATATCTCTAAAAGGAGTTCCATAATCAATATTTTTAGCTTATTTTATTCCTTAACTGATGCTCTTTTGACTAATAGTATCAATTTTTAATTCTAGATTTTTTTTTAATTTCACCTAACTACATCCTTAAACTACCTTGTTTTCAGCATTCTTTATGTAATATTGAGAAATTAAATTGATAGACTTGGAGAGCTGGAGTATGATGTTTTTAAAAAAGGAGATTCATAAGACTGAAAGATTATTTAATTATCAATACTAGTTAAAGGAGACAGACTGTGATTGGAAAATGGGGGGAAATGAAGATAGAAGGTTAATGACAAAAGTATTATTTTGTATTGTCGTGAGTGGAAAGTACAGTGAGATGTAAAATAAATGTAAATACTGACTTTGTTGGCTCTTCCAATGGCAGCTGGAGAAAACAAGTTTTGTGTTGTAGCTTTCTTAGTATCTTAATTTGCTGAAATATTATTTTATGTATTAAATCATTTTATCATCTGAAGATATAGTTTTCCTTATTTAACCTTTGAGCATCTTGTCAGCATAATGACATCATTTATTACCTTGCATTGACATACAATTCCTAAAGAGAAAGCCTAGGACTCTTGTAGAGCATATTTTGGGTTAGTTTTCATTAAGCAAAACAGCCAATCAGACTTAGTTATCAAGAAAAGAGCTTAACAAAATGTAGGATTTTTTCATAGTTGATTTAATATACCAAGACAACTTTTAAATGTTCAAATTTAACTTGATATCAAAGGAACAGTTGGTAAGTTATGAACAACTAAAGACAACAAACTTATTTAGTTCCAAAAACATTAATAATGACAGAGAAGAAGGTACATGACTTTACAAGGGAAGCTTGAGGGAGAAGATGTATGATAATAAGATGATGCTGTATGATTGTCATTAACTATCAACCAAAGACCAGAGACCATGTATGTAAACAACCACAGGGCAGACGGTCATAAAACTTTATTCAGTGTGCTTGAAACATCAAAGCCAGTATTTTGATTGGTTTATTTCTGAGATTGAGTTCGATAATTGTGCTCGAAATTTTTCAGAGCGCAAGGCCAAGTCTGTCACCAAAAGGCATTCAACAATGAGCAAAATTCTTCTTCGTAGACTGCTATAAAAGGCCATAATACATATATTTTCTACATTAAATGGGTTTATACAAAATAATTTTCCTAATTTTTGAGACATAAGGAAGCTAATCAGGCTGCAGCGACATTATAAACTATTTGTATAAAGCTTTGCAGAAAAAAATCAATGATGCATACCTTTTATAAAGATGCCTTATGATACAAAGCTTCTCTCATCGTTATTGTCCTTGACCTTATTTCCATGGTTCAGTGACTGCTTTAAAAAGTAGTTTTTCATTCATGTGAATTCTAAGTCATTGTGAGTAAAAATTAAAAGGATAATTTTATATTGGTTTATGAATTCCTTGCAAGGGGGGACATGTCTGTCAAACATGGTTCACCTTACCTTGAGTTAATTTCATGAATCAGTGATCAAAGTTAAGCTTTTATGGTTAAGTCTCAGATACTTTCAGCAGTAGTATAGCCATATTTGGTATATAGATGATTGTAAGGTATACATATAAAAATAAGAAGATGTGGTATAATTGCCATTGAGACAGCACTCCACCAGAGACTAAATGACATAGAATTCAACAATAAGCAAAACTCTTACTGCATAGTAGGGTTCTCACTAAGATGAGTCCAGGACTCATCATTTTTAAAACGGGTGAGTCCGAAGACGCATTAAGATTGTAAAATGTTGTATGAACTTAGGACAAATAACATTTTATGACAAAAGTTTTGAAATAATCTAAACTTGAGGTCATTTCCTTGCTCTATTTTGTCACAGAGACTGGAATAATTAATGATATAGCAATAAAATATCATCTCACTATTTGACTCGCCTTCAAATATCCTTAGTGAGAACTCTGGCATAGTCAGCTTTAAAAGGCGCGAAAATGACAAATGTAAGACAATTCAAACGTGAAAACTAATGGCCTGATTAATGTACAAAACAATAAACAAAAATCAAAGGATATACAGAAGCATACAACAACCACAGAATTACATGCACATACAGAATGTGGCAGGGTTAAACATGTTTGCAGGCGCCCAACCCTCCCCTAACCTTGGACAGTGGTGTAACAGCATAACCTATGATCAAACTATAAAATCAGTTGAAAAGAGCTTATCTGGTCGATACAAAGCAGAAAAATAAGTAACAAAATGCAGATCAGACGTAGTGTATCATACGTTTGTCTATCGGGTTTCATTTTACCTTTACCTCATTCATGGTGCATTTGTCAATATTAAGTTTTTTATGCCCCATTTATGGGCATTATGTTTTTCGGTCTGCATTAGTTTGTCTGTCAGTCCATCTGTCCCGCTTCAGGTTTAAGTTTTTGGTCAAGGTAGTTTTTGATGAAGTTGAAGTCCAATCAACTTGAAACTTAGTACACATGTTCCCTATGATATTGTCTTTTTTAATGCCAAATTAGAGTTTTGACCCCAATTTCATGGTCCTCTGAACATAGAAAATGATAGTGCGAGTGGGGCATCCGTGTACTATGGACACATTCTTGTTAGTGGTTTGGTTTGTTTCCTTGGACACTATAAGAATTATGTCAACTCTATTTGGTGAATTGAAAGTTTGTAAGGTGTACATCTCTGTCTGGCAAGATTATCTGACCTTGACCTGGTTTTCATGGTTCATTGATCAATGTTAAGTTTTCATGATAAGGTCTGTTCCTCAGGTGCTGTAAAATATGGTTCAACTATATATGAAATATTGTGTGCATGTCTGGTAGGTTCATCTGACCTTAACCTCATTTCCATGGTCATTTGGTTGCAGCTAAATTATATGGTAAGGTCTGATTCTAGGATTACCACTTTTCAGTGTTAACTGAGGCACCTTTATGTTATAGAGAAAGTCCAAATAACTGTCCATACCTGGGAAATAATGGAGCAGAGGCCCGGAGGGCCGACGCCCATTATTTCCCAGGAATGGACAGTTATTTGGACTTTCGCTAACTTAAAATACACCTTAAATATTAAGAACGAATTTTTAGATCATAAAATTTAAAGAGTTTTATTTCATTTTGTAGTGGTTTTCTTTTCATTTTCCCTGTTGTGTACCCAATAATCCACAGTCAAAATTTAAGATCAAGCTGACCATCTACTCACTTAACGAAGTATTTATGAAAAGAAGAATAACTACTATAAAAAGATCTTGAATAAAGTTCATCCAGATTTATGTTTTAAGTCAATGGATACGCACGTCTTTCTTGTGGTGGTATTGAAAGGATATTTATTTGTGTCTCAAGTGGTATTTCGGGGGAGAGAAAAAAACTAATATTTATGCATATATGTTAATGGATTATGTGTTCTTCGTTTGATAAATCTTGGATGTAGAATCGTATGAGAAAAAAATGACATGGTACAACTAGAATAAATTTCCAGGTACGTAACACTCTAGTATATGTTATAACTAATAAGGGTGTGCTCGATTTGAAGTCATATCTGAAACAAAATATGATTCTATATTTCAAACCATTCTATTAGATCAAATTATTATCAGAAAGATTGCCTTTTGTATGTTTTTAACTTAAGTGGAAAACTACTTTTTGATTTCATTTAAACATTTCAAGATTAACGCCGTCATTTGCACTGCCGATATAACTGTTATATTAGCCACTGGACATATAACAACAGTGAAGGAATTCGATTGTGTAACGCGTTTCTGTTGAAAATTGAATAAAAAGTCCCGCCCAATATTTAACACAAGCCTTTTTCAAATGTTATCCATACCCTTCAAATTCTTTTCAATAGTACCATATTCAAATTATAACAACGAAAAATCAAATAATATACCGAATACGCCATTTTGACCATTTTAGTTTCTTGAACTATTTATTTTATTTAACCACAATATTATTGTAGAAACTATCTGAGTAATATTTCTTTTTTTAATGTACTGTAACATATTAAAATGGAACAAACGATTTTTGCTGTACAAAATCAAAATACAACACTTTAAATTTCAAATGATATCTTAAACGGTAGAATAAAAAGCAAATCTGTAAGTGAACTAATTTTCCTTATTGTATAATGTTACTGTGTTCAATATTACGAAAGAATTCAACTGAGTTAATCCATTTGATATTTTGTAGATGGACAGAAGAGGACTGGCACTCAATGGAAAATATTCGTTTTTACCCGCTTGGATACTATCCGTGACAGAAATTTAGCCAAGATGTGCATCGGAAAAAAAATTGTGGATAATGTTGTAGAATTTTAGTGAAAACGATACCATATATTATACGATGGAATTACGACTCGCAAATAAAAGCTGTTTATTTATAATGAGATATTTGGTGTTCATTGTATAACTACGAGGTCATCCCAATTCAAAAAAAAAAAAACTTCATTTAATATCAGCGTTCAGTAAGTTTTCATCTTCATTCAGTATCGCGTTACGTCCTTTAGAACTATTTCCATGGGTGAACACTTTTTAAGAAATTGCCCATGGAAATACCCAAAGGGCAAAACGTCCGTTTGAATGAAGATGGACAATAGAAAATAACTCTCCATTCCTGAAAAATAATGGAGAGTTTGAACAAAAGATTTACGTCACAGGTGTATTTTAATGCGATAAAATGACATCATTGTAATGTTGATAAGGTCAAGATGATTGGATCAAAGGTTAGACGTCATGAGTTTTGGTCAGACCACACACTTCATTACATAACAGTTGACACTAATCAATTAAAAACTACTAACACCAAAGAAGGATAAGCAAAATAGTAACCAATTGGGAATGAAAAATTGCAAACATCTTCATTCTTTTGTGACAAAATAAAACTATCTTCATTGGAATTATTTGCTTAATTTTGAGAAGTTCCTTTGACGGACATTGAACACTGCCGTTAGCAGAATAAATCACCCATTACTGGTATAGGCTGAAGTAGACTATTGCTAGTGTTAGCACTGTTAGGTCATATTATTGAAGACAGTGATAGCCCACGTTTTTTTATGAAAGAAAGACGGAATATTCAATACCCAAAGTGAACTATCTACCTTTGACAAAAAACTTTCAAGTGTTACTGTTATAATTGCTTGCATCAAGTTGACCATGCTGAGACGAATGTATGGAATTTAGTTATAGAAAATTTAATTTGAATCAACAGTATTTGCAGATTTTTATGTTTAGTATAGTTTTTTTTTTTGAGTTATGAGTATTACTAAAGATTATTATTTTTGGAAGAAGAAAATATGTCTAAAGTAATAATGGGATAGAGCAGGCTGGGTTGGTGGGGGCTGCTTTTATGGTAACTCAAGTTACCTTTTATGCATCTTCTTCCACCTCAGAGCAACCAGCTCTTTGATTTTACTGGGGTTTTTTTTAAACTTTCCAATTTACAGCGTTATATACACATAGCTATATATCTAAATCTATTAATATTTTCTACTCAATTTT